AATTGCTGAGAAGTTTCGCCCTCTGTTTGCAAAGCAGCCCATGGGCGGGGTGCCTGGACTTCCAAGTAACGCAGTAATTGAGGTGACTGGAAATGTATATGGACAGAACGATGCGCCAGTCATGTGGTATCGTACGTTCGATCAAGAAGTCATCTCTTTGGGGTGGAGTCGATCCAAATTCGACTCTTGTCTCTATTACCTGCGTTCAAATACAGGCGAGCTCGTCGGCATAATGGGTGTGCATGTAGATGACACAGCCATTGCAGGTTGTGGCACTCTTTTTCAAGAATCCGTGGCAAAGCTGAAAGCAAGATTTCCCTATAGGAAGTGGAGAGTGTCCTCTGGTGAATTTTGTGGAGCCTTTTATGAACAAGACAAAGATAGTTTTGCCATCTCCATGTCTATGCAGACGTTTGCTGACTCTTTGAAATGTGCTCATATCCCAAAAGGAGCCCTTAATAGCCAGCCTCTCAACGAAAGCCAAATTAAGATTCTCCGAGCCATCAACGGAAGTCTGAATTGGCTTGCCTCCCAAAGTCGGCCTGACATTTCATGTCAGACGAGCATGTCGCAGCAGGCCTTCCCAAATCCTTGTATTCGGAACCTGAGAGATGCAAATAATGCTGTCAGACGAGCCAAGCAGCATAAGCAGTTGAAAATTGTGTTTCAAAGCATTCCCATTAAAGACTTGACGATAGTGTGTCACAGCGACGCAGCATGGGCAAATGTTGGAATACATACACAAGCAGGATACATAATAGCTTTCACTGACAAATGTTTGCATGATGCCAAGGAAGCTCCTTGGGTTCCGGTGGTTTGGAAGAGCTATCGTCTCGCTAGAGCTGTCAGCTCAACATTGGCAGGTGAAAGTCAAGCCATGAGCGTGGCCAGCGGTACAGTTGAGTGGTTATCTCTCATGATGAGTGAAGCAATTGATGGACCCTTCCAGCTGAGACAAGCCAGAGCCATTTTGTCTCGTAGATGTCCTCTCCTCGCCACCGATTGTAAGTCCCTGTATGATCATTTGGTAAGCCCTTCTTCACCTACAGCCATAGATGACAGACGTACCAGCATAGATGTGGTGATTATAAGAGAGTCACTAAAAGATTTGCAGGGTATAATCAGATGGCTGCCAACCGATAGAATGGTTGCTGATGGACTGACAAAAGATAAGCTGGATCCCGAAGATCTGCTTCGCAGTTGCGTCCGCAGTGGGGTATATCAAATAGCCCCTGAAACCACCGTACTTGCACGCCAAGCAGCTGAGCGAGAGTTGCGAAAAGAGCGCCAGAAGAACAACCAGGGTTCTCAGAAAGTTGAAAGAAGCCAAAAGTTAGTTTTGTTTGTATAGCAGTTTTTGCCTGTGAAATACTTGGCCCACCATGGGCATGATTTCGAGAAATCAATTGTGGATAAATGCCAAATTGTTTCCTTGACGGCAAAGATCACTGAGCTTCACGTTTTTTTCATGTCATGTTGTGCAGGTTTCACATATAGTTTGGAATAGACTCAGGTGAGAACATCTGAGCACAAGTTTTCCTTGCATGTCTGTTTTGCGATAGCTGCTGCATAATCCATAATGCCTCTCCCGGAAGTCAGCATCTTGAAGAGTTTTTGCGATCCAATAGCCACTTTTTCTCAACCTTACGACTCTGAATATCAGAGTTGTTTTCCAGCGGCAGTGTTTTCATCACTTGCACCGAATGTCGTGGTCGAAGCAAGACACTGAGGCCTTCCGCCAGATTGTGTCCAAAGCCAAGGAATGTGGAGTCCTACATGATCTGTTTGAGGGTCATCATGTGATCTCAAGTGATTCACCTACCAGTTTTCTCTGATCAGCAGTGCCGGTGAGTCTATGACAGATGCAGCCAAAAGGCGCCCTTCTGTGGAGATCGATGATCTTCAGCGACCCCATGTTCCCAAGGGTTCGGACAGCAAGTGTACTGGACATGGCAATCGCAAGAGCAAGACCAGTGTGGAGCTTTCCTCTTCTCACGACCGAGCTGACAGTGATGTCAAGATCAAGCTGCCATTAGGGGTGAGTGATCTTGAGACTTGGAGCAAAACCAGAATTGATTTTGGAAAGTATGAGGGTCATCAGATGAGTTATTTGCATCTGGCCCGAAGCCAGTCTCCCGAGTGTATCAAGTACAAGAATTGGTGCATTCAGCGCAACCGCTCAGCAGATGGCCTTCTCAAAGATCTCTCCGATTTTCTGGTGGAATATCAACGTATTGAGAATCAGAAGTATGGCTCATCCAAGTCAGATGGACCTTTCATCCCTGGCACCGATCGTCTTCGAGTACTGCTGGATTGATGAAATTCATTTTTGACAGTTTGCACATGTCTGCTATATACCTGGCGGTTTCTATAGATTTCCATTGGCGAAGTTCCTGGAACACACAAAACTTTAAAGATTATAACCGGTGTTGAAAGCAGAGCCATGAGTGCATACTCCAGCAGGGGAACAGATGCATGACCGAGAGGGACCCTTCGCTCAAGCGGCAAAAGGCGCCCGTGCTCTTGCCCCTGGGAGGGCGATTGGTTTTGAGATATATATGCATAGTGCAGTCCCCAAAAAATAGGAACGTATTTCCAGGATGTTATTGACTATGTTTTCATCATAAATTTCCAGGTGTCCAGTCAGGGGTGTATATTATATATCTATACTAAAAAATATATACAATAATGCAATATATACATATGTATATATATATATACACGTATACACATAGTAAATACAATGCATATGCGAATACATATGTATTTTTTAAATGCACATATATATATATATACATATATATATATACACATTTAAATATATATATATATACATATATATACATATATATATACACATTTAAATATATATATACATATATATATATATACATATATATATATAAATACATATATATATACATATATATATACATATATATACATACATATATATATACATATATATACATACATATATATATAAATACATACATATATATATATATATACAGTACATACGGTAGGGTCCTAAACTTGGACATCGCCAAGTGTCTTCTCCCATGGACTCTGGCTCTGCTTGCGAAGCAAGGACGCTCCATTGGAAGGTGGGCGCCCGCAACGTCAAACTTGGGGATGTCCAAAATCACACAGATATATAGACAAATCACAAAAAAATCACAAACATAAATCAAAAACAATCAATGCCAATCAATGTTAGACAATGTTAATCAATGACAAACAATTTTAATCAATGTCAATCAATCTTCATGGTAATCTAACATAATGAGCGTTGAACCAATGGTTTGAGGACGGGTCAAAGCTTTGGCGAATGTTTTGTTTGCACTGTCAATCTTAGCCTTCAGGCTGCGGGAAGATGTTGTCACAATGCCGCTTAAGGCCTGGGAGCAGAATCCCCCGATAAGACTGCACTTTAAGGAACAAATCCAATGCAATTTGAAATGATACGGATGATAAGAATCTATGCACCATAAATTTATTAATGACTGTACTGTAAATGTATATCAACAATTCTGGAAGAAAAACAACAAGGCCCAAATGACCGTAGTCTTGCGATGTGTTGTGGGTTGTTGAGTTCACTGTCAGCAATCAACGGTACGACCAACTCATCATTCAAAGAACTGGGGGTCTTGAAAGATGCGGCAACCCAACACACACACACATACATGTATTATAATTCATATAGTGTCACCTATTCAAATCAGGAAACTCGCTAAAGTAATTCTTGTGTATCCTCCCGTTTTCGAATAACACAAGCAGCATCACTACTAACACATTGGAGGTCATCGCAACTTGGTAGCTTTCGGCATCCTCCCCTTTGTCCAACTGCTGCGGCTCTGAGTCTGTCAAAGTACTGTGTCTTGATGCAAAACAATGGAAACTGACGCCCTACTTCCCACCCCTGCCATGTTGTTTTGTGGAAAACTGTGGCGAAGGGCGAAGACCTGATTTTTTTCTTTTTTTCGAGTCTTCTGAAAACTGATTTTGCCTTGCACCCAAGGTTTAGTCATTTTAGAGGGAGTCTGAATCGGGGAAAGCCCTGCAGTCCCCGCGAATTCCTGCAGTCTGAATCAGGGGGCACAGCTGCAAAACTGCCACACAGGCGGTTTCGCTCGTGGTGCTTCTGAAGCACCGGCGGCCTTCTCAATTAACCCCAGTGATCTTCAAGGTCAAAATTGAATTCTCTAATACATATAATTCATCAATCATGAATAGAAGCGAATCGTCAGAAATAACTAGAACCAAAAATAATATTTATAGTCTATCTGAGTCTATTTGATAGGTTCATCTATGTCCTATTGGATTGCCTATCTATTTCCGGCATCGTATGGATGATGTTGACATGCTAGTATGCCAGTAGTGGGGTGGTGCAAACCTAGCACCCACAAACGACTCCCCGTGAATTAGCAGGAACTCTGAAATACACCTTGTGTTTTCTACCATGGTAAGGATTCAAAAATCGTAGAAAGGATAATCGTGGGAGGCTTCAGGCATGCCGCTAGCTGCTTGTGTCTTCCCCCAAACTCTCAGCAAAAAATAGCAAAAACGCATCCATTCACTGTCCCAAGAGCCTGAAGTACGTCAGGCAGTCAGGGCACATGTTCATATTATCCCATGTCATGTGAGCAGCGCATGTACGACTAGCCGGTGGGCATTTGAATAATGAGTATATTATAGAGGTTGCCAGAATATCCTCACGGATCAAATGTGCAGCATCGCGGACCAACATTTTGGTGGTTACATTCTCACATGTTGTGAGTGAAGAGTGAAACCTGCATCAATGACGTATCGATTGTAAATATTATATCATGAATCTATCATGGTAATCGTTCTCACCACGTTCTGCATATAAATGGAAGAAATCCAAGGTATCCCAAATGTAAACTACTCATCTTCATCCATAATGTATCATACATTGGTCAAGTAATTGTCCGTTTTCGTGTTGCCCTTGCCTCCCCATTCCAGGTCCCTTTCGTCCTTCACAAGGGCTTCTGCAGGAAGTCTTCAAAGGCGCCACCCAATAGGCGATGTACCTGGATCTATGTAAAAAAAACAGATGGCTAGTAACCCTGAATGTCCTAAGTCCATCTATATAAGTCCCCTAATTACTTAAGTCAAGTTATAACATGTGAGAACTATGGTTGGTAACCATTACTAGCCGCTATCTAACCACTACAGCAAGTGGGACGGTCCTCCAAGTGCTTGGCGGTGTGGCCACGGTGTTAAACATTGGTGGATGGTTGGTGGTTTCAAACCATCCGAAAATATATGTTTGTCAATTGGAATCATCCTCCAGGCGGCCAGTGAAACTCCAGCAACCTTGCCTAGATTTTTTTGGGAATCTCAATTTGCTATTTAATACCCTGCCGCTGTCCCCAATATCGAACAATTACCCCCCTTTACAAGCCCCCCCAAAAAAAATAAGAGATCGATGACCACAAAGCCAAGCTTTTTCTTTGGTGGGGGGGGTGTGGTATGAAAAAAATTGGAAAGGGAGGGCATCAAATGATACATACTGTGGATGGAAGAAATCCTGCACCAGATGGTAGATGCTTCATCCCATGAAAACCAAATTGTTTACAGTGTTTCATAGTGGCCTTATAGTTACCAGTTACCAACCTGGTGCAGGATTTCTTCCATCCACAGTATGTCACAGATTCGCTGATGAATGTCGAACTGCTCTCATCAAACATTCCCTGGCGCTCACGTCGCGGCGGATGTCACCACGGCTCACTTTCCAGCCGGTGGCCTGCAAAGACATGGGGGTCACGGGTGGGTCCTGGTGGGAAATTCTGCCCCGGTGTTTGGAGGTTTGAAGGAACACAGTATAGTTAATCGAAGGAAGTTTAGAAGTCAACCTGCCGACAATATGGACAGATTGAAAAGCAGAGGTGGGAAGAGTCAGAGGAGAGAAGAGAAGAAGAGAGAAGATCAAAGGAAAGAGTCAGAAGAAAGAGGATGCAGGTGCGCGAAAAATAGACAAGTCGCAATTCACGGTGGTAGAAAAGTACGCTCCGGCCGGTCGAAAAATAGGCTTGCTAAAGCGGCGGGTGCGGAGCCATCTGGCCAGATGAGACATGAAAGATTGCACGCCGTTGGGGCGCGAATCACATTTTGAAGTTGAGATGTTCAAAAAGTGCACGCCGCTGTGGTGCGAAGCACATTTCGAAGTCAAAATGTGCAAAACACACCACGTCCGGACAAGCACCACCACCACCACCACCACAACAACAACAACAACCACCACGGACAATGACGACGACGACGATGACGGCTGCTGCTGCTACTACTACTTCTACTACTGCCCCTACTCCTTCTCCTACTACTACTTCTTCTTACTACTACCTACTACTACCTCTACTTACTACTACCCTACTGCACATACATTTACATCTACAACGGCAACGGCAACAGCAACAGCAACAACAACAGCAACAACAGCAACAACAGCAACAACAACAACAACTACTACTACTACTACTACTCCAACTCCAACTCCAGCTCCAACTCCAACTCCACTACGCACCACTTCACCACTTTACACTACCACTAGCACTACCACTACCACTACAACAACAACAACAGCAGCAACTGCCACCACTACTACTACTCCTCCTTCTACTACAACTGCAACTACAACAACTACAGCTACGACTACAAATACCACTACACTACAACTACAGCGATAACTACAACTACAACCCCACTACACTACACTCCACTACATCACACTACAACCACAACTACAACAACTACACCAACAACAATTACTACTACAACTACTAGAGCTACAGCGGCTACAACTACAAGATTGCAATTACAACAACATCAACCACAGCGCAATTCAACTACACCACAATACAAATGCAACTACAACTACAGCTACAACTCCTCTACACTACGACTATACCCTCCACTTCACCACGCTTCACCACCACTACACTACAACTACAACTGCAACTACAACTACAACTACAGCGACTACTACAGTTACAGCTACAACTGCAACATTACAACTACAACTACATCAACTACAGCTACAACTTCACTACAATACGACTACAACTGCAACTGCAACTACAAATAATACTTTGCTCTACACTCTACACCACACTACATCCAGCAGTTGTGGCTGAGGTGACCACTGCAGCCACTCCAAAAAGCACAACTCCAACCACCTTTCGGTCCATCAATGCATCACAACAACTCACCTCTCCTATAGTGTCCTATCTTTGAAACTTCCGCCACCGCCTTGTGCGGGACTACTGGTAATTGTCAATGATGGTCGATGATGGCCAATGATGGTTGATGATGGTCAATGATGGTTAATGATTGTCAATAATGTGAGGGGAGAACTTGCAAGAAAACCCTTCAGTTCGGCGTAAAAACAATGGTCTCATCCAAAAAAAAAAACGCAAACCAATCCAGTGATGGGGGTGTCCATCCCAAAAGTTAGGAGGGATCCAATGAAACATATGAAAAAAAAGCACCAATCAAGCAAACCATGTTTTTGGGGAACCAAAATCTAGGTTTGACTTCAGCCAACACTGGGACATGGGGCACAAGCCATGAGTTGTGCAAAAAATATTGGTGCGTTTCCAGCGTGTTCTGCGGGAAACGAGGGTTTTTTTAATAAACATACGTATGTTTACACTCATCAATCCTGTGCAGTTTGCGCGCTTCGAAAGGTGGGACCCAAACTTGGACAGTTTGCGGCTTAGCCTGCAACCTGTACCCAACACAACCAACTACACGTACTTGGTATACTCGATCAAAAGCACACGCCCATCGCACATAGTAATTGTATATCAGTAAATAAAAACAAATGAATCTCAGGTCATTGAGGTGGCGGGTCAAGTGAACCATGAAACCTACCATGGTTCTTGTACTAAACCGACCAATGAGGTAAACCGAATAATGAACCATCCTCAATTGCGGTTTATTCTTGGATATATTATATATAATTATATATAATATACAGTACCCCGAACAATGGGATGATTTAAAATGACCCGCAGTCATGCTTGGTCACTAGGATGGTTCATGGCATTGGCTTTACCTCACTACTGTATGACACCGGAGGGTAAACCGACGTCCCATTGATTTGATTAAATCCCTTTAAATCCCATTAGATCCCATGAAATCCGAATAACATCCGATTAAATCCGCAGTAAATCCGATTAAATCCGCATTAGAATCACCATGACCCACAGGTTTTTTCAGTTGATCCCTCGTCCATCCCCCCATCCCTGCCGGTGCCCTTCGTCCGGCCATAAGGTCGGAGTATTTTCCCACCAGCAGCTTCGAGAGCAAGCTTCGCCTCATTGTTCGATATTGTTCGTGGCAAAAAAGTGATGCAAAGCCACCTGCTGAAGCATAGCCATTCAAGTATTTGTTGGTTAATCATCATAAACAATATCGAATGTAGTTAACAATGGTTCATACGGGTTGATAATGCTTATAATAATGATTAATCAATGCTTAATCATGATTAATAATGGTTAATAATGGTTAATACTGGTTAATAGTGGTTAGTAATAGCTAATAATGGTGAGCAGTGGTTAACTAAACAACTTTCATAATGTAGATCAGAATCATGATGGAGAATTTAGATTGCCATGGCGAAAATAATCCCAATCATCATAGTCAACCAGTCAACAATGGTTAAAATGGTTGTACACCTTGAAGTTATATGAACTTAAGGTGATGATATTCACCTTGGAGCAGGCCACCGTCCTAAATAAAGTACACCAATTTTCTAATGTTTTTGAGAGGTATCTTGAAATCTTAATAGATGTACTATATATATATGTGTGTGTGGGTGTGTACTACTGTATGTGTGATCATTTGTTAATGTCTGTATTTGTGATGTATTATGTAGTTATGTGGCAGTTATGTGCATATAATCAATCTATTATTTCTTTTCTCTCTTGATTCTCTGGTGGAAACCTGAAATATGAAACAAACGCTCGACATCCTCTCAAATGTTCAAGAGCTTTCCATCAATACATTTCTCAAGACCGGCTTTGCCTGACTACAAATTGGAGCTCCCAGGGGAAAAACATGGAAAAACACTATCTGGATGATTGCATAAAAAAGGGACGCGTAATCTCATGTCGGAAATAATATGAAATAATTAACTTTGGGTTGATAGTTACTCGGGTTTAACAATGTTTCACCACCTATATCGTGAGCACATCAACCACACAGCGAAACCAAACTGCACTAACTCCGTAACTCCCCCTTGGTTCAGCGGCGAATGGATCCACTTGTAGATCAGCTGGTCGTGGACCCTGGCTGATGATGCCTGGCACCAACATTGACGGCGTTGAGCCACAACCGTTGCATTTGAGTATCCATGACTTTTACATGGCAGGTCCCTTACGTGGTTCCGAAATGTTCCGAATCACTGGAAAATGTCTGAGTCTGAACATGTCAGACTCACTGCCAAATCTGGGCTGTTGACTGAACATCATTGATGAAGATATGGCAAACACAAATCCAAGCAAATCCAGAGGCGTGAGACTCACAGCATGGTTCTGTGAATAATCTGCTGGGTGGACAGAGTTTGGATCATGGATCATGAGCTGCACGTACTCTGCCTCTCTCTCTCTCTCTCTGTGACTTCATTACATGCCACAACCATCCGCATTTTGTATGCCTACTCAGTCATGATTACCAAATACTACAGTAGCATCATCTGCATTTGTGCGCATACATGCAACATACCTGAAAACTAAAGTATATATATATATATTATTATATATGATTATATATGTATGTATGCATGTGTGTGTACAATTATGGGATTTGATGATAAATTAGAACAATGATATATCAATCAATATCAATCATTACATTAAAATGTAATATTATTATTCAATGTAATTACAATGATTCCAACATCTTCCAAGCATGTTTTCATACTTTTTCGCTGCCGGGCTCGCCTGATAGGTGAAATTCATCCCCAGCATCTCCAGACGAAGACTGGTCACCTCTGTCACCACCGACCTGGGAGGAGCTACAGCGGCGCTTTCTTTTGGGATAGTTGGAGGATGTTAGAGGTAATCTGGACTGAACCAATAGATTAATTAATTGGATTAGCAATGATTATCATCACTGATCATCACCACGGAAATAGGGGATCGTTCCATTCTGTGCGACGTTCCATTAGCATGTTTGACTCTCCGACATGAATGGAAATCACCAGAAAGCAGCGGGATAGATACCCCAAAACATGCTCAACTTGTTGTAGAATATTACAGGATGGCGTTGGAGGATGTTGGAGGGTGTTGGAGCCGGCCTCCAATCATATATATAAGTCAAGTTGCTAAGGAACAGCTGCCAAAACGTGTCAAGAGGCTATCAGATTCTGATGTTCATGTTGATGGCTTTGAAGCTTACAATCCCAATAAAGATCATGCAAGATCCAGCCGCTGATTGATCCCGAACAAACAAAAGTAAATCCATGGTCACCTTAGGAGCCTGGAGCTTTCTCAACGCCCAGGGGCGGCTTGTTGCAGTACCACCAGCAGCCCCAGAAATGCAAATTTCGGAACTTGGATGACAGAACCGCCGCCTCCGGCGCTGAGATCTACCCAAAGGCCTTGGAGAACTCCATGGTGCTACTACGAGTACCAGGAAATGTGTACCGTGTATTACCATGTATTACCTGTATAGCTCTTTGGAGATGATCCAAAATAAACAATTGTCATCGGAGACTGTGGTTCTGTCATATATGATGTCATCCTGCTTTTCGGAATCACCTGTGAAATGGTACTTAGATGAGCCATGGGATCAGCGATTCCTGGTTAGAGACTGGGTTATAAACCACAACAAATCCCAATTGGAATCCATTTGCATGTTTTTTGTTTAAACATCTAGTAAACCACTATAGTCATCCCAATTATATAGAATCCATTTACTAACCATTGTAATTAGTAGATTATAAACCACCATATCCCAATTCTAACTGGTTAACTCCATGGCCCATGGAGATCCACGGCCTCATGTTGGTCGTTGCGACTCAGCACGGTGAAGAGGAACTTCACCGTGGGATTGGCTTCACAAAGGTGGCCTCGAAACAGCAAAAACCGGCATGGCGCCTGGGGTCACCAAAAGGATCCAAAGGGAACGGAAGACCAAGACAAGTAGATCAAGTAGTGATTACTGGGGATTCATGCGAATTCATGGAATTTTATGATGATTGAAATTGAACATGATTACACTTGAAAGAATGTGGATTTCAGAATGAACAGCGTAGAATTCACAAGCAAAATTGAGGGTAAACCATGTGGGTTTTCAGGATGACGTGAATAATTAGTTGGTTGCAAACACGCCAAATGTTGAAGGCTCCGATACATCACGGTTGGAGATCATTGTTTTTTCACTGTGAAACATATAATGAACCAACTATATAATCCGGGGCAAGTCTGGCCGGTATCAGAGAATAATTTGAAGAATTTCGCCGGTGCCTGAGTCTGTACAAAATTGGAAGCTTCAAAAATTGGATCTAGACAACCCCCCATAGGCAGTTCACTTGCTTGTTCCTCATCTTTTGAACTTTTCTGAACCTCGTCTGCATGCTCTAGAAAGCCACCCGCGTCTGGCCTAAAGATCGAAGTTCAGCAGCCCCCACCTCAGGTACAGCCAAGGTACATGACCACAAACATTAACATGTGAAAGGCATGAGGTCAGCTATCCAATGAGATCTATCAAACATGTAATATGACGTAGATAAATGTGTTTTTGCAAAAGCATATGTGGCTTTCGGCTTTTGACATGCGACAATGGAATTTGCTGTTGTAACCGCGAGGATGGCAAAACCAGATGGATACCATGGAAAGAGTTGCCCGGTCATGGCTGATAAACCCCAACAAATGCGCCCGGCTGTAACGCGCAACAAAAAATGAAAGCATCTACCCTCCGGAAAAAAAACAACTGAAAACATATGATAACACTAAAATGACCGAATAAGAGAATCTGTAGATCTTGATATAACATGTCTACTTGGCATTGCCATGTTTGCTCGCCAAGCATGGCTATCTGATAATACCCGGCTGCAAACGGATCGCCTTACAACGTCACACAGGTCTATAAAGCCGTTAAACACATATTTACCGCACAAAGAAGTTTTAAACAAAAAATCCCAGCACGAACAGATTAATCATTAACCATCACGAATCGTTAATCATCATTAATCATCATGAATCATTGATCATCGTTTGTATCTGCTGATTGATCATCATTTTCACCCGGCAAAGCCATTTCCCAACACCCAGTAGGTGCCATCGGCCAAAGTACCGCATCACCGGCCAGTTTGAGGCTGGGATTCACCTGCGCGGGCCCGTCCTCGTGACCCAGCCCGGCCCAAGGCTGGGATTAAAAAAACTCGATTGAAATCCTTCGTTCCTATTCATTTGATCGATTTTTATAGTGATTGTCCCAGTTCCATGGATCATTTTTATATATGTTTATAGTAATTACTGCCAGGTCAATGCCCGAAGATCCAAGTGATTTTCGATCGGACCTGGCCATTTTCACCTAGAAAGTCACCATTTCAAGACAGGTCAATCGGCATCGCACCGCCCGACGCATGCCCATCCGCAAAGACCTCAGCAACATCTGCGGCGTTTCGAGCTCTGGTGGCTTGCTGACGTGGGCTCTATATCTATGGCTAAAGAAATAACAGTCAAAAAAGAAAAACAGCAATTCAAAGTTCTAGTTCGGAAAATCACGTGGTGAGATTTAATTCAGAATATTTAAATGGTCCATTTTCCATAGGCCCCACTTGCAGCCAAGCAAACGCTTCGTCCCATAAGGCCGCCACAGGGCCAGTGAGAAGTCCCGACACAAGGGCAGAAGCAAGGCGTCTAAGACCTCTTTGGAGATAACATGATATCTAGGCAAGGTATCTCCAAGGTCGTATGACGCGGTATGAACCTGCCAAAATGGTGATCTTAATGGTGATATAACCATATAGATAGATAGATAGATAGATAGATAGATAGATACATAGATAGATAGATAGATAGACAGATAGACAGATAGACAGATAGACAGATAGACAGATAGACAGATAGATAGATAGGATAGATAGGATAGATAGGATAGATAGGATAGATAGGGTAGATAGGATAGATAGGGTAGATAGGGTAGATAGGATAGATAGGATAGATAGGATAGATAGGATATATAGATAGATAGACAGATAGATAGATAGATAGACAGAGAGATAGATAGATGGATAGGATAGATAGGATAGATAGGATAGATAGGATAGATAGGGTAGATAGGATAGATAGGGTAGATAGGATAGATAGGATAGATAGGATAGATAGGATAGATAGGATAGATAGATAGACAGATAGATAGATAGATAGAGAGATAGATAGATAGATAGACAGATAGATAGATAGATAGACAGACAGATAGATAGATAGATAGACATAGATAGATAGACATAGATAGATAGAAATAGATAGATAGATAGATAGATACATAGATAGATAGAAATAGATAGAAATAGATAGAAATAGATAGAAATAGATAGAAATAGATAGATAAGCATAGATAGATAGGCATAGATAGAAAGGCATAGATAGATAGAGATAGATAGATAGATAGATAGAAATAGATAGAAATAGATAGATAGATAGATAGATAGAAAGATAGATAGATAGATAGATATGATAGATATGATATGATAGATACGTAGATAGATAAGTGGATAGATAAGCAGATAGATAAGTAGATAGATAAGTAGATAGATAAGTAGATAGATAGATAAGTAGATAGGTAGATAGATAGATAGATAGGTAGATAGATAGATAGATAGATCGATAGATCGATGGATGGATGGATGGATAGATAGATAGATACATAGATAAGTAGATAGATAGATAAGTAGATAGATAGATAAGTAGATAGATAGATAAGTAGATAGATAGATAAGTAGATAGATAGATAGATAAGTAGATAGATAGATAGATAGATAAATAGATAGATAGATAGATAGATCGATTGATAGACAGATAGACAGATAGAGAGATAGATTGATAGATTGATAGATTGATAGATTGATAGATTGATAGATTGATAGATACATAGATAGATAGAAAGATAGAAAGATGGAAAGAAAGAAAGATAGAACGAAACATAGATAGATAGATAAATAGATATATAGATAGATAGATAGATAGATAGACAAATAGATTAGTTAGTTAGTTAGTCCGTCAGTTAGTTAGTTAGATAGATAGGTAGATAGATAGATAGATAGGTATATAGATAGGTAGGTAGGTAGATAGATAGATAGATAGATAATGATAGATAGATAGATAGATAGATAGATAGATAGATAGACAAATAGACAAATAGATGGAGAGATAGACAAATAGATGGAGAGATAGAGATATAGAGAGATAGATAGAGAGACAGAGCTAGAGATATAGATATAGATATATATATACATATATTGGGTAAATTACAATAATTCACTAACCTGAAATAAACTGATTTGGATTGATGTGGGAATACTTCCCCCTACATGAGCCATGCTTCCAGTGAGGGGGAACAGTGAGGTCGTTATAGTTTACCCAGATGATATCCCGAGACTGCGGCATTGATAATACATGATTATATATATGATGTGTAAACTTGTATAAACCCTCTGATTAAGACATATTCCGATCCCAATTTAATGAATGGATCCAATAATTACTAAGCTGACTGAACTGAAGGGTGTTTATCAAGAGAAATCAGAAATCGCAGGTATGGCTGACAATTTGGGAATCTTGGGGACACAAATGGATATGATCAACAAAACGAACACAACTAAACTGAAACAACAGAAAAATCGGGGCTAGTACCGCATTTTCTGGAAATTGTAGAACCCCAATTCTCAGAGACCCCGATATTGACACTTAAAGGCCATCTGAGCATCGGCTTGTCAGTGAGGCTCAAGGGTTCCCCCCTGGAACCAGCCGCCAGCCGGTCTAATACCAAGTAACCATGAATCCCCCGGGATATTGGGCATGGCGGCATGGCTCAAATTGGACAGCAGGGCATGCCACCACGGGGGTCCAGGCTTCCACCCAATGGAATTCCCAGAGGGCCTGCTGTGGGCTCGGTACGAAGACTGACTCGCTGAGGTCTGCATCCAAGATGTCAGCGGACCTTGTCACGCAACAGTTGGGACTTTGATATCCCACGCAAAAAACATCAGCAACTCCAGTCAACAGTAGTCATCGATGCCAAGAAAAGTAACTCGGCCCGACCCCTGATGAACAAACATCTATTATTATACATGCGAAGAGTTGGGCCATAGGGAACATGGCAACCCGAAATCCACTTCCACCAGCCAGTCTTACCCTGGGCAGCCTTAAACTGTATACATTTGGGGTCGGATCTCCATCAAATACGACGCCTCTAATTTCACCCCGCAAGAAATCATGATGTTAAGTTAAGGCCTTAGAATTTTTAGAAATGTTGCAGGTCCTAGAAAAATTACCCAAGGGAAAATCATGGAACATCCCGAAAAAACTGGGAAGATCCCCTGTTTTTTCGCTCTCCGCCTGGCTTCGTCACGTGTCCACCGCGTCCCGCCGCAGCGAGCTGCGGCCCCCGACGGTGGCCTCACCACGCCCCGGCAGTAGCTGAAGCTCTCAGAGGTGCCGCAGGTGATGAAGACCTAAGGTGCAGGAGCCACGTTTTTTGACAAAATCTATGAGGAATGATGGTTACTTAATAATGGTTGAATGGTTAATCAATGATTAATAATCCATGGTTGATTAGTGGTTTGACATCAAAATCTCTTGATGATGGTTAATCATGGTGAATGAATGATGGTTAATGTTCAATTAATCTATGGTTAATGATGCTATTTTGCCGTTGGTACAGTCATTGGCTAACGGTTAATGATAAATATAATGGTGATGGTTAATAATTCATAAATGTTGCAATGATAATGGTGAACAATTGGGAATCAAGGTATATATAATCATTGGCAACATTGGTCTATGTTCGTTGGTTAACAATGGTGTCAATTATGGCAAAGGATTTGGACCAATGATTAGTATATAATGAATATCCCCCCTGGTATTGATATTAGGCACTACCAGGAGTATAATCATGGGTTGTGAATACTCATAATTACTCTAAGAATCTACGGTGAAATAATTTAATACGCTTACATAATATGTTTGTTTTGGTGGGATTCATCCCGTGAAACCATTTGGAACATCATTTGGAGATCATCACCACCTGTGTTCCTCATTTTTTCAGATGCTTATATAGCAGCATCCCAGCCTGACCCAGCCCCAGGACCCGGACTGGCTGCAGTGCGCGGACCTGGGAACATCCATTATGATGACCGCTATAAACCTCCACTTTTTGGATTGTCCACCATTCATACTGGAATTTATAGATGGTTTTCCCATTTTTGTATTGACTACCTCATTTAGATAGGATGTTCAATTGCCACGCTTGATGAAACCGGATGGCAGTCACTTCGTCTTCGACTGGGATTGAAGGTACTGTAGTCTTGCTGGGTGAAACGGATAAAGCTGAGATGTCAAGGCTGAGCCATCGTCAAGTGGACCTTCGCAAGGGAAATTCTCTTGTTCGGTTTTTCCCTCATTTTGACCAAATACTTGTGACATATAAAATATTGTGAGAAAAGAGCGTCCATTTTGGGTCATACCCTGACCCAATTCCCATCACTTCAGTGACGTCGAATTCATCCATAAGGTGTTGGTTACATATATATGTATATATATATGTATGTATATGTATATGTCAATAAACATATATATATATATATGTCTATATAATCCTTTATTGTATAATTATGTTATGTATATATATATATTATGCACACAATGATTCTATTTCATGTGCATATATCCCATTCCATGACTAAAACATCTAAAACTTAAGCCGCCGAGCGCAATCGGCCACCAACTCATAGGCACCGCCTGAGTGCCAAAGAGCGATACTTATGGATGTTCATCCACCCCTAAATATGGTATGATAATATATGAGATATACATAAGATATTTCATATATAATACATACATAATATGTCATATTTTATATAAGGTTTATATATATATATATTATAATAACATATTATATACAATATATTAGTATTACATATATATATATAATAATGGTCTCATGACGTCTCATGTAGGTTCTAACCAATTAAAAATCGATCCCCCACATCTGAGCAATTGCATACGCAATTACCAGCCAATCTGCTTGTGACTTGAAAAAATGAGTATCGACCAATGGCTGGCCATTCTTCTGATGAAACAAAGAATCTTTAGAGGGATCTTGAGCTATATTGAGGCCATATTTCTGAAGGTTGGTTTTTGCATTGCCTGGTTGGATTGCCAACGGGTAGGGGTTCACTGATTGCCCATTGGATTTGGACCAGTTGGATCATCCAAATCCACATGATTCCACCAATCTGCTGACTTCGACTTGGGTTTGCCCAGGGGGAAACATCATATCACAAACATTCACAAACCATCAAATTTCAGGTACGCTTTGAACAAACCCACTTGCCACTTGCCATGGTGTCAGTTGTTGGATCAGGTGGTCCTCTGTCTCCATGCTGAGCATCTGGCGCAAAGTCTTGGGCCTGGAGCGTCATCCCATGGGTTTGTCTGAAAATAATGTACCCCACGGTGCCCCATTCCATTCACTGACCTTTTTTCATCAATGATGATGTTCCGATGTTCCTATTAAAAGCGGTGGAACATAGGGCAGAAACCCAATTCTTCAGACCCATCTATGGACAGAAGTTGACACATAAAAGCAGTCGCAGCTTAGGGCCAGGCTTACCACATTGCTCCAGAGTTTTGGTGACTTCGTCCCAACGTCCCTCCAGCAAGGCGTCTAGGGCCTGAGGCAGCAAGCTCTGGACTAGCCATGGGCGAAAATTGGGGTCGGGGGCTGAAGCAACCACTAAGCAAAGTTTGGATTTGACACAAAGCGGACCTGCTCGTATTATATAACCAGCCGGCCACAACTATGGATTGCTTACGTGATTTTATATGTAGAAAAGTTATAGATGTAGAACCTAGCCTGGCGATGGAGGCATGATTGTGATGCCAGCGAGACTTGTGGTGCTCATGTCATTGTAAGTCTACCCCGGTCTGCTGCCAAAATTGCAAAAATATGCAAAAAATAAAATTGACGATTTCCCTATATAAGTCTCTAATGTGACACCCATAGGGCCCCAGATATAAGGTTCATCGCCCCGTTTACCAGTGGCACATGGTGCTCAAGAAAGGGGTAGCCCACCAGCTACCTCAAACTGATGGGTCCAACATCGAAGCGCCGCAAAAGCCCACGTTTTGTCACCCCTTCTGCAAACTTGACCGATTTTCCAGAATGAATCTTGAAGATTCTTGCAACAGGTTGCACATAACCCCTATAATTTTTCACAATCTCCCGATTGACATAGACCCAAATAATAGGGACGTTGAAGATACCTCTAAATACTGGTGGTTCTCATGATTCTGGTCGCTGGGATCATCGGGTGCCCGCACCAAAGCGCTCTTGTAGCGTGGCATCTCATAGGGAGGCCTTGCGAAGCTCAGGCTACGTTGGTGTGGGTCAAAGAGATAGGCATGATATAGATTGATGTAGGGTAACTGCTTCCATTACTATCCAAATTGTGGTTTAATGTGGTTTACATTTGGATCGCAATTGGATATACCGACCCAAATTTTGTATAATGATGTATAATGCAGGTAACTGCTCGTAAATTCTGGTAAATCTTGGCAATTCCGTTCTGAAGCAGTTGGAATACCTTCGGAGACTGCACAAGGACTTTCCATACATTTCCCCAAGTCCAAGAACCGTCATCATTGAAAATGCAGCCTTTTATGGAGAATCAACACATATTATTGCGTGACTTACAGTAAATCCGAATTCTGTTGAACCTCGATAGAGTTATTCATAGTTACACCAGAATTGGTCCACGCCCGGATCCACCATGGGAAACCAATCGACATCGGCCCATCGGCCCCGACTCAAGGCACAAGTGCAGCTGCTCCGAATCAAAGGGGTCGTGACCTAGTAGAGGTGCCGTGGCCATAGAAAAACTTCACGGAAATCTTGAGAATTTGCCTCTGGTGAACTAAGATATCCATGGAAAATTGGCCATTTATAGTTGATTTGTCTATTGTAGTGATGATTCTCAACTACGTTAGTGAATAAGGTTTTAATATGCATATAATAGTATATAATACAATATATATATATATATGTGTGTGTGTGATTATTGACCAGCATTAACCATATATAGAGGGTTCCGGGTTCCTAAGTCAGGTCAGCAACTCATCATGGGTCGAATGACTGGATGATAAGTGGTGGTACCCCCATGACTTAGGAAACCTCCAGATCTTGAGAGTTAGCTATGAACCCCAAAAAATGATTCTCAGGGTCTATGTTAGTTGGAGGGATGGTAAATCATATTATCAAGTTGGCTATCAATACCATTCAATACCATTTTATCTCTTAATCCCATCCATTATATCTCACAATGTGGTAAACCCAATAACAAACCATCCCATTCACAAACCATTTGGGGGTACATCATCCCAAATAAGGGGATACCCAATAATGGACCTCTTTTTGGGATGGCTCATTACTGGGTTGTCCACATTCAAATTGTCTTACTATGTCTTACTGCTACTACCATCACCGGTCAACAGTCCGCTGGGTGTCACACTGGTGATTATGTAGCGAAGCCTCTCAGCCGATTCAAACGGGAACGTGACCAGCGCATCAAAGAATGCGAGAATTGGGATGTAAAATTAAGCTTTTTTCATAAACAAATGCAAGCTATCCATGGTTATTATTGAATGGAATGATGATGATGATGATGATGATCATCATCATCATCATCGTCATCATCGTCATCACCATCATGATCACAATGATAAAATGATTTAAACCAAATCCAAAACTCAAGCCAGGTCGAGAGTCAGTAGATTGCACCCTGTGGTTGTCCTACCTCTGGCTTTCTACCAAATCTATATACATGGCGCTCTTACACTCAAACAAACTAAAAACATAGGTCATAGTTGAGCTTATGATCCCTGTGGCCCATATGTTGGTTCCGTTTGCTCAGGTGTCACTCCACTTCAGTCTTTCAAGTCAAAGTTCAGAGAACATGCTTCATTCAGAAGATATGATATACCTTTTTTAAAATACTTGTCTAAAGGGGAAAGAAGAACGTGTCTGTTTATCATCTTCTAAAGTGGCCATGAATGAAGGGTTCACCCCATTTCAAGCCTAAATGCTGCCGATTTCATTAATGTCACCGTGTTGAAACGCCGGCAGGGCTGCTGCATCCCACCCCAGCACCTTGCAAGTCGCATCATCTTCTCATTGAACATCATGGCATCTTGGCCAGCATACCTGGTACTCAACTCTAACTTGCAGGCGCCAACAATGACCATGAAGAGACCCTAGTTACCAATGGGTTCACAACTCAATGGAACAGGTAGATAACCTTGTCTATATTTGCAAAGCCGGTGGCTTCATTTCCTTATGAATATGTGGTTTCCATTTTTATGGGGGTATCCCATTAGCTAGATGCTTTTTGTTGATGGTAAACATTGGTAAACCCATCTATAAATGGATGATTTTGGGGAAAATCATCCATTTTAATAGGCTTTACCATTGTAGACCATCTATTTTGGGGTACCTCCATGACTTAGGAAACTCCCATGACTTTCTTCAGGTCACCAACGTCGGATGGCTGGAAGATCTCGTGACGCCACTTCCTTCGTCAAGCCCAAGGCCGACAACCTCGAGTCGATCGGCCAACAGGACCAACCCAGGGGTGTGTTGTATGGGGTTAAAAAATAGTTCTAACCATAGATATATCTGATAAGTGGTTGAGAAGTGCAGATTAAGAAGTGATCAAACATCATCTATATGTAAAAAAATGTATATACTTATTTATGTGATTATCAAAAATAGTTAGTAAGTGAGTAATAACCATATATGACTGATACAAACCATTTACAGTATATATAATTAGATGGGATGACCCAGTTAAGTTGGATGATCCACCAAGTAGATACCCATGTGAATCTATGGCCATTTTTTAGGGAACATGTTTTTAGCAAACTGTAAATCTATGTTCAAACAAATCCATGTTTTGCTTGAGGGAATGGACAGTTACCTGATGTTTCCATATCTCTCTCCTGCATCTATGGCTCACATCCTGTAATCTATCAACATCTATATATATATATCAACTATCACATTACTAAACCGAGACTTAATTACTAATATGTGAATTACACAAACTCTAGACCCACCCTACAATAATTATATACACGTCGCTGGCGGGATCATCACTCATATTTAAATTGATGATTATCCATATATGTTTGCCATAATTATGCCATAATTCTATTGGGATTCTCCAGGAAAGTGAACAGCTTGAGCCGCTTGCGTCGTCAAAACGCCGCGGCCTGAACAATTGGGCGAATGAGGAAGCAGCATTTGCTTGCACGTATGTAGTTCTACGAGCAAAATGAATAAACTGATATAATACATTCTACGCCCTATATAGGATACAGGCTATACATAATATTTTTCAAATACACCTATATAATACTAAAATGTATATCTATATATGTATACTGTATACTGTATTATACTGTGTATATATATATATATATGTGTGTGTGAGTGTGAGTGTGCGTGTGTTCCCGTTTTTTCAAACATACATCAGACATGTGCATATCTATATTTATATATAAATAAGCTGAAAGAGACATTAAGAAAGATTCCCTTCCCCCGATAAACAGCACGTCAGAAAGCCTGGTTTAAGCGAGCCCCACTCTTAGGGTCTCTTAGGGAGAGGGGACAAAAACGACCGCCTCCCAACGGTGTGAAATATGCCTATACCAACGTGACCACAAAACATAGTCGTGATTCAGGTTGGGCTGGCTCTCTGTTTATGATCTATCTACCTACCTACATATCTATCTGTGTATCCATCCATCCTCATCCATCCATCCATCCATCTATCTATCCATCTATCTATCTATCTACTGTGTACATGTGCACTCAGCAAGAAAAAACAACAAGAAACTGAACTTGAGACAGGGTGATAAACTGGCATGAGCCTGTATACAGCAGGTAAAAATAATTATAAATGCATATTAATACAGAAACACTATAAGACACTTACATAAAGATCATACAAACATGTATATATATAATATAACGTATGTTCACGCATATCCGATACAGAACGAGATGCTTTTTGTCGGAACATCACCCTTGAGGCCAGGGCAAGGCTCTGACATGGGAGTAGAATTCACCTCAAGCCAGGCATGGGTTTTCAAACGATAGCAAACGTGGCTACTACAATAACTAGATTTTATAGGAAAACAATATATATATATATAATATATATACATACGTATATATTATATTATATATATATAGAGTCAGGTGGGGTTATAAAATATTATGTATATATAGAGGTATATGTAATATTATAAACAAGCTTGTGAGTGCAGTGGGAGAAATCTTTCGAGACCAGCGCATCATTTGCACAATGTGATTATATCATATTCTAACTAAGTGTATGCTACATATTTACACTGTACTGTATGTACGTCTGTCTGTCTGTATGTCTGTATGTCTGTATGTCTGTATGTCTGTATGCCTGTAATGTAATGGTAATGGTAATGTAATGTAACCTAACGTAATGTAATGTATGGGCGGTATGCATAAACACACACTCATCGAGTCATCTCTCTATGACTCAATGGCGAGTAAATCGAGTCATCTGGCATTCCTAAGAGATATGGTAACATGAGCAACAGAGATGGGTAAGTGTATCACCTCGTAAGCCATGCTTTTGGGAAATTGAAACCTTTGAAATGGTTTGAACACAAGTATGTTAGGGGTGAGATCCAGGATGCCCTACAATGGTGTCAATTATGCTTGTCACAAGCGAGGCCAAGACCACCATAGCAAAGGTCACGGGTGATGTAAATTAACATTGTCAATCGCCTACTCTCAAAGACCATCAACGGTTGGACAGCAGAACTTCATTCCTGTCCTGCCTACTTGCCATCCCTCCAGCTGTTCCACAATGTCTACAAGCGAGGAGCTGGGCTCATTACTGGCGACTCTACATATGACATATATATATATAATTATAATTATAATATATATATAAGGACATTGATTGACACATAGTAAGTTGGAACATGAAACGTGATTATTGCATTATTGTATGATTATTGGATGTTATTGTATATTATTACTTTTGTAATACTTTTGTTGTATTATCATTATTGTGCGTGTTGTCTTTTGTAGTTTGAACGTATGGCGATTGGCGACTCGGCCAGATCCACACATCACATTCTGAGCGCTGAACAAAAAGTCCCTCCCAAACTCGGTCAGCTTGTTCACTGGTTGACCTGAAGCTAGCATGGTACATCAGGAGCGTAGAGCTCGAGTTTCCAGTATTCCCATTGAAAATCGAATGGTTTTTTTGTTGGCCCAGAATTGTCCAATTTTTCCAAAGTCATTGGCTTCATCCCTAAGATTCCATCCAACTTTCATGTGCCATGACAGCATGGGGCCAGATGCTGCCCAAATTTACATCCTTCTGGGCCCGGACGATGCATAGAACTCCTCCGGGGCTTCGCCTGAAGCGAGAACTCATGGGAATTGATGGACTTTTCATGGGGATATCATGGGAAATACTGATGGAAGAAATCCTGCACCAGTTGATAGGTGGTTTATCCGTTTATCCCATGATTGATAGGGTTTCAACCATCCGAGGTGGTGCAGGATTTCTTCCACCCACCATGTCATGGGATTTTAGGGTGATTGAAAGGGATTCAACATCAACCAACAAGCATGGGGGAATAGTGGGAATGTAATCAAACATAGTTTGCCGGCAAATCCCAGATTTAGTTCGAATATCTCCCCAGCCTCCGTTTAGTTTGAGGATTTTCCAACTACCATGTTTGATTACCAAATGCTACTGCCTCTTCAAAGCAGAAACTGAAGCTTTTGTTGAGTGGATAGTGACCGGATAATAAAGACTGCCAGTGATTCTGCCAACTGTCTCACTGGCTGGTTCCTGGGGAAAAAAATGCGATGCACTGCGAAAAATGGTTTATCTCCAGCAAGATTTCTAATCATATTCCTCTACATTCCCCTATATATAGCTTTCAAATATGGCATCTCATCCCATGTTCGCCTTTGGCTTCCCAGACCCCCCATCCCCGTCCCCCCTGGGACTTGAAACAGCTACTGGCCAAGTACTCGGAGACCAAATAGTGATAAGTCCTGAGGAAAGCAGCTGCCTGCGACAGCTGCCACCAAGGTGCCATAGTTATTACGTAGTTCTGACCAGCAGATACCATCCGGCAATCACATATTTAAATGTTGCACTTGAAAGTCCCCCTTCTATAGATGGTCCCAGCCAGAAAACCTCCATTCTGTTCGGGGATTTCCCATTGCCATGTTTAATTACCCTGAGGGTATATACTTACCATCTACGAGCACCAACAAGTCAACTATGAGCTAGGTAACAGGACAAAAGTTGCCACACCACTTGCTCCAAAGGAAGGATTGTCAAAATCTGGGCCCGGGCAGCAGTGCGTCAATGCCATACTGCATCAATCGCTCCCCATGACCTGTTGCGAATGTCTGTCCGCTTGGTGACATACATCCCCCAAGCATTGCATTGATATACATCAAAATTTGCCAGGCATCAATTTCCATGCATATGTATATATATATAATTATATATATGTGCATGCATTTATCATGTATATATATACACACGTATATGTATATCTGTGTGTGACCAGGTGGGTTACCCGGACTCCAGTATTTGAACATTGCTATGCGATCCATGGCCCAGTTAGTTCGATGATTTACCTATGAAACACGGAGATCACCACAGGGTAACTCCCATAAAATCCCTTTTAGTCCCCATTGAGCTCCATCATATCCTCATGATATCTCAGTATATTAGCACTTACCGATCCCCATTAAATCCAGCACTTGGAGAACCAGTCGCGATTCCAATCTTGAGTTTCAGGCTGGTCGGGAACAGGTGCGTGTGAACCTCGGCGAAGGCTGGCAGGCAGTTTTTGTTGGAATCAAACATGGGGGAAATGCCAAACTTATAGGTTTTATGAAGTTTTAATGGAAAATCATGTCTAAAGTCTAAATGAAGGTTTTCATTGAAACATCATCTATCATTGGGCCATTGTCCATTGCCAAGTTTGATTACCCGAGTCTCATAGGGTATGTAACAACCAACGTTATACATTCATCTTATCCTCCCAAGTTGCAGTTTGGACCGTCTTCTGACACCAAGAGCATTGGTGGGCTTGTAGCAACCCAACTTGTTTGCAGCATCTTCAATCTTGTTTCATGGTCCCCACAATAGTTGTACCATGTTGCACCAATAGTTGTGATCGTTTGCCGACTTTCCTCAGTGCTCGTCCACACTGGAACCCCAAGAAAGCCATCCTTTTTCTCACTGCTACAGGCTGCAAGGATATAGCTGAAGTGCCACGCCAATCAGCCTTCCTTGAACAAGCTCTGCGGCCATCGTGCTGTCACAGAGCCCTTCCTTGGCTGCAACGCATCAGACCGAAGGATTCAGTATCAAACCATATCAAACCAACATGGCCATAGAAACTCGCAGATGCAAAAGGTCCTGAGTTCCTTGAAATGATGTGTTCCTAGCCGTCAACCATTTCAAACGGTTTGTATATACTCTTTTCATCTCTTTTCATCTCTTTTCATCTCTGTTCATCTCTGTTCATCTCTTTTCATCTCTTTTCATCTCTGTTCATCTCTGTTCATCTCTGTTCATCTCTTTTCAACTTTCATATGAAAAAAATGCGTGTGTGCGTGCCTTGGTCAGTCATGAGGTGACGTTGGTCGATATGAGTTGCAAAGGAAGGGGATGGCAGGAGCAAGAACCGAGAATGAACAGAACCTGGCAAACCAGCTCTCTCGATCAAATGGTGCAGGAAAAAATGCCAGGAGCCCTCCCCCAATATTGAAAGGTCCAACCCAACTTCTGAGTCGAAATTCCTGTGCCCAATTTCCCTTCCAGACTCTTCGCCTTGGCCAAGCAGTGCCAAGGGTCTTTTGCAAGTGGATCAGCACAGATTTCCCATCCGCATTTTGGGCCAGTTCCCAATAACACTCCTCAGGCTCCAAATCACAGCCTGGCACACCTGGTATGGGCCCAGTTTTTCACCACCCAAGGCTTCTCAGCGGATGCCCATAGATTTTCCCTCATTGATATTGGTTAAACCTCTGGAAACCCAGCACCACAAAGTAACCAAATATATCAAAATAAAAATAAATCAATACAATTCATCGTTGGAAACGTGCCACCAACCAAGGATGGTCTGAACCCAAGACATTGCCCGGGCACCATCCACTTGTTAGGCCTTTGATCATGCAAGAGACCAGCCTTTGTCCATCCTATGTCCTTGACATGCTCATGCTGAGCCCTGGCAGCTACAGCCAGAATTGATCATGAAAGCCTATATGCGGCAATTCGATTCCAGACTCCTTTTGGCCGTGTCTGAACATGGGGGTGCCCCCAATCCATTGGAATATAATCTTTCCAATGGTCCAACTGAAATTGCAATTTATTATACAGTAACTATCCGATTTTTGACAATCATCACAAAGCCATATCACATATTCTATCTACCTACCTATCTATCTGTCTATCTATAATTTGATTTCAAATCTCTCTCTCCTATGCTGGCTTAAATCCAATGTTTCCATTTTTGGGCGTGTATTGGCTGGTTAAATCCCAATTAGTTTCTGGCAACCCAGCCCTACATCAGCCTTGCACCAGCCGGCCTTCTAGCATCATCTCCCCTCGCACTGACAGTGACATCTTTGTTTCGCGAAAGATGTGAGAGATATCCTTGGCCAGACGCCACACATTCCGTTCACCACCAAAATCTTGCATGCAACTAAAGTCTGAGCGGTCATAAATGACAACTGACCTCATGATCTGTGCCCAATCTTGTGCAGTTCAAAATCGTTATCAATTGAACTCACACAAATTTCGCGATCCGCGGTCTGAGCCACTTTGCTTTGCACATCTTCCGGCACCGGCAGCGTCACCAGCACTTCTGCCCCGCGGCGCTCCCATCGATATGTGGCCTCGCTGCCTCCAGGGGGCGACACAAGCATGATGGACGCTGAAGGGGTCAGGGTGTTCCATTTTTCACTATAGATGTTTCAAGCAAACTATAGCAAAATCACAGCAAGCATGACGTTTAAAGAATGCGGACAGCGACAGGCATAAATTCAACATGAATTAATCAACATAACTGCTGGCCTCATAGCTTACGGTAGCTGGATTGGTGTAAGGGAACATCGACAGGAGGGCCACTGATGTGGGCAATCATTTTTTGCGGGCTCGTGTGAAATTCATTGAAACCAACTTTTTGCTTAGCCTAGGTGGAATTGGCGCCGCGTGTCCAAATGGTTTCCTCCACCAACATGTCATGCTGCTTGGTCGTTTGGGTCATCAAAGGTCCCATCTCTTACACCCAATTTGTCATGGCAAACCTTAGATACTGTGCAGAGAAGCTTGTTTCAGTTACAGTATGTATATATTTATATATGCATACAATACTGTATGTATGATTATAAATATATATATATATATATATATAATTTGTATTTATATGTATAAATATATGTATATTTATATGTCCTTATACCCGTGCGATATCTAAATCAACTACTTCATCTCCCACCTCCTGCGCCGTGATCGATCGTCCAAAGGCCTCAGCTCCGGGCTTGAGGACCTGGCAAGACGTTTGCTGTTTTTGTCGCCCGCAATGGCCCCCCCCCAAAAAAAAATATGATGCACTTTGGGATCTTTGGATTTATGTTGCTGTTTTTTTCGCCTTTGGGGATGAATGATATGAATTTGGATCAATTGGGCTATATTTCAATCTCCAATTTTGAAGCTGGAGAATTCAAGGATGTGTGAAAGAAACCAGCAGCTGGAGGCTGGAGATACCTCATAATTACTTTCATACCTCCCCTTTGGAAAGCAATACAAGAGAGCCATTGGCTTGGCGACATGTCTTTACACCCCCAAAAAAACAACTGACAGGCTTCTGCACGCAATTCACACGCAAGCACATACATGCACATTGCTGCACATTTTACACATATAAATCTTACAAAACATATTGATATTCATGTAATTGATGGGATGTAAAGCATCGATGAGAAAATATCAAAAACAATGCATTGAATGGCTAAAGCGTTTATCCTTCTGAAAATGCTTGAAAGAATGCATTGACCAACAAGGCCTTTGATCATCCAGCGGTCATAACAGCCCACCATGCAGTTGGGACCCCCAGAACCCAGCAAACTTGGTAATTAGCAGTGTAGCCCGCCTGTCCACTTGAAATAAATGCGAGACAAGAATTCAGAAATGGGAAAAGAATCCCAAATTCAACAGGAACATCATGAAAACCAAAAACCTTGCTTCAAGTAGGGCAACCATCAACCAACATCCCGCTCAACGGGTTCTCCTCTTTGAACCTTTCCTGGCCTCCAGCAGTCGAACATCGAAGGTCACAGGTGTGTTGGGAGGCACTTGCCATCCCTTCCTGCAGGTGTTGGGGCTGGCTCTTTCTCCACGGTAAAGATAAGCAGCCTACAAATGATGTTACAAAGGGGCTCCTCTATGCTGCAAACATACATGCATATCACGTATCATCGATATAAGTGTGGGGAACTTCATGGCCACCTCAAAATGAACACATCTGATTACTGATACTGAACCAGACTTCTTGCAACTTCTTGGGGGCAATTCATACTATATAGCGGGAAGGGGTTGGCTACGCATCTTTCGGTAAACAAAGCTGGAACTGCCAGGTCTGCGTCCGAGAGTTTTCAAATTGGGGGTCTGCGCCACCAAGTTGAAAACAAACTGAAATCAACATGGGATATTTACTACACATCTTCTGATGAGGGCATAAAACATACGTATGTGTAAAATTTGGTAAGTGGTTTCACCGTGTTGTTGCCGGTTAGTTATAAATATTAAATTAAATCATGTGAGCCATGTTCTAAATGTCTTACATCCTGGCACCAAATAAGGAAATGCTTACGCCATTGCTTACGTTTTGCTTACGCGCGCGCAGGTTTTGCTTACGCGCATATCTTTTCTTACGCGCATATCTTTTCTTACGCGGAGCTTACGCTGGCTTACTCGCACCACAGTTTTGCTTACGCCACACCCTTACAAGGGGCCCCTTGCTTAACATGAACACAAGAGTTTAGAACCTGGCTCATGTGCACATTTATATAATTATATAAACTAAATATGTATATATATATACACATCTTTGTTCCCATTCTCATTTTTGTTGGTCAACCCCCCAGCCCTTCTTGGAGGATCACCCCCACTTAGTGACTGCTTGGTACATGGGGTAGATATCCTCCAGTAGACTAACATAGCTGTGGAATTCCAAGGGTTTCCTTTTGCAACTGAGGAATTTCCATAGTCTATGGTGTCTATGTTAGTTTACTGAAGGATTACTCGGGTACCAACTACTTCGAGGATCATCCAACTTCGTAACTGGTTAATAACCCGGGTTAGCAAGTCCCCATTTCGTGGGTCATCTCATCTATAAATACGGGTTATATCAGTTTTATCTATGGATATCTATGGTTATTAACCACTTACTGAGTGGGATCTAATCTGTGTTAGTTTCTCGTAGGGTACCAATCTATGTTATTTTATGTTAGTTTGTTCCAGGGTACTAACATGTACTAACTACACAGGATGATCACGATAGTACCATATAATATTGTATGTACATATGTAAATCACAGTTGCTGATATTATAGTACTAATCAAAGAAATTCTAACAACTTACTAACCACCACATATTAACCACTTATCTATGACTATGAACCGCTTTCTAAGTGGGCTGATGGTGCTATTAAAATTTATGTTGTCTGTTATCTTATTTGAGTTTCCATTACGAACTATGCCAACATTAATCATTTTCAATGTAAGTGGTCAACAACCTATTCACCACTTACACCTATGGTTCGTTGTTAACATTAATTAATCAGCTGTTAACATATGGTTTAATATTAACCACTTAAACCTATGGTTAGTAGATGTTAGTAGGTGGTTAATATTACTCAACAAATTGGTTTCTATTAATTAACCAACTAAGTAACCACTTCAACCCCGGCAGAATTCATCGCAGCTTCTCATCTCTCGCTCCCATGGCGCCATATGCCACGTCTGGCGCCAGTTTCAGCAGCGCTCTCTCGCCCTGGCGCATGGTGGCCACGCCCTCATCGAAGCCTTCCAAGACATGCTCGGCGCCCAGGGTGAACCTAGGCACCCAAGGCCGCCAAGGCCCCATTCGGCTGCAGCAAACCACCCAAAGATTGGGGAAACGATGGGAAAATCAGCAGGTAAAAGGGAAATTCTGACACATGATGGCAAATTCACAAGGTAAAATAGATATGTTAATTACATCATGTTACATCATTTTATCATCAAAATCACACCAATTCACAAGGTAAAATAAGTCACTAAGGTAATTTAACCATGAAATCATGCGAAATCGTCAGCGGTGTTATACATAGTTTCATCATTAGACCATGGAAAAACATCAGCAATCAACAAAACGGTAGTTATATATAGATGGTTTGATTCAGCAGCAACAAATGGGAATTTTGAAAATTGTGTTCCCCATTGTTTAACAGTTTTCAATGGCCATAAATTGCAGTAGCCTTGCTGTTTGAGACAGACAAAAGGTGCCTCCAAATCACTTGAAAGGCTGGTCTCTCTTCATGGTGTCGTTGAAGACACTACCATCAGGTAGGCTTCCAACAAAGTGAGTGATACACTCATCCCCGAAGATGGGATACACTGCAGGCTCCTCTCCCTCTTCAATGATGCTCTTCATAACGCTGCCATCCCCAAGAATATCATCAGGATGACCTTGGCAGTCCATTGTTTGCCATGAGCCACTGGGGGTCATTTTACATCCCAAATAGAGCGAGACTCAATCGTAAACCTCTATTGGGGATGCTTTATTCTCGAGATGTCTAGAGTTATCCTGTAATTTCACTTGTTATACCACTATTATATACTATCATATATTGTTATTGGGTTACCACAGTAGTCTCGGTTTGGGGTAGTCGCTGCTTCCAGTCAATGTGCAGAAATCCAGCAGCTGGGAGAGCCTCACATGGACTAACAAAGCCAAGTGACAACTCAACAAGTGCTGCAACTGCTCCTTAGATTTGCTTCGAGGGCCAACTTGTTCCGCATAGATTCGCCCAAACATATCGTTTCCCAGTGCAAAACTAACACACATATGAAACAGGATGAAACATGGTGCATTTCCCATTATCAGTATTATACTGGTACTAAAATCATGCACGCAAGGCATCCCAAGTCTCTTCTGCCTCTTGGCCACTTTCCCGCGGTTCAGCGCACCGCCCTGCCCCTCGACATGCGCGCACCGTCGCCGCTCCACACAGCACTGCAGCGACGCGGCGCGGAACGTGGGAAGCCTTGCCGCAGCGGCGCTGGAGCCGTGCTTCCCAACAGCTCCGACGCAAAGACCAACCACCAAGGAGCCTCGGATCTCAGGATATCTCAGGCAACCTGGTAGGATGCAAAGACCATTTCGGAGGAAAGCACATTTATGGTACCAAAAAGGAAACAACCAATTATGTCAATGACATTCAACTCATTATTAATTACTGCAACCAAACCATAATTTACCGACCAACGCAAGATGTCGCACAGAAAAACAAAACACTATCATCAACTCAATTTGAGGGCAGATGTGGGGATGGGACAAAATTGGGCACCCAATGTTAAATGCGTAGTTAATATCAAACATCACATATCCGCGGGCAGTCTTCAACTTTGACCCAAGCGGCAGGTCAAGGAGTTGCGGATTGGAGCACGGCAGCATGGCGATGGATGATCTCCACTAGTTCTGAGTGACTTATGTGTTGTTTGTCCTTGTTTGTCTGGTTCTTTCATGGTTATTTCATGATTATTTCGTGGTTATTCCACCGCAGTTTTTTCACATCGCCCAGCACTTGTAAGACGGGTCTGCGCCATTCATCTCCCTGAGTCGGGTGACCAAGGGACCTGCGCTGTTCATGTACTCGTTATTCCCTGTAGTGCACCCTGTTCTTTCAAGAAAAAAACATGCTTAATGTATTTTAATGTGAAGTTTACCGCAAATGGTGTGCTCGTGTGAAGGTAAGCAGTGTACCCTCTTTTTAACCTCTTTTTGATAGTCTTCAATGGATGAAGTTTAACAGGCGTTGGGATTCTATGTGACTTCAGCCCCTTCTGTGAAAGTGTGTCTGACTGACCGAGCTGAACTGAAGGTAATGGTAGATAAATATAGCCCTAGCAATGCCTTTGCCCGGGGTAATTTATACCCCATAGGGCCAAAACTCTGTGGGCCCATTGCCATCTTGCCCCCGCATCTCAAAAGTTCGCAATTCTAATCCCTCAAGAACGCAAGGGCCACAATTGTTCGGACGTGTTTAAAGACAGCTTATGGGGTGGAAAAGCAAAGATCTAAACTCAAAGTGATTGTGAAACTCAAAAATGCGTTGAAAGTGTTGAAAATCGAAAAGAATACATTGCCTTTGGCCCAACGTTCTTGGGGGTGATGTTTGTCTGTTGAACTGTTGGTCTAAGGTCAAGAAAACATTTTTTGTCACATATATATATAAATATATATACATATATGTAATGTATGTGTATATATATATATATGTATATACAATAAAAACATATATATATAATATAGTATTTATCTATTTATCTATTTATCTATTCATGTTTATATATATAGTTATATTTATGTTTGTAATTTATTATTAGAAATTATATATATGTATGTTGTATAAATATATATATCTAAGTGCATGTATATGTTTATCTATTCACATTTATTTATGTTTATATGTATATGTATATTTAAATATGTAAATATAAACATATTCGTTTATATTTATACAAATGGAAAGATACACATTAAAAAATGCATGTATAATATTATATATATGTATAATTATATAATATATATATATATATATATATTTGCCTAGAAAAAAATGCTTAGATAAATTATATGTGAAACAAACAAGCCTGAGCTACCTCACATCGATGGCCTCGGCAGCCTCCACCTTCACGATCGATTCGATGGGGATAGGGATGAATGGTATTTTATGGTGATAGACAGGGGTTTAAGAGGATTTAACCCTGATTTAACAGGGATTTAACATGGCAACAACAAAAATGGGGATATTAATGGGAATGCCCTCCGGTAATCAAGAGGCTTAATGGGAAAATCATCGAACTGAATGGGGGATTGTCATGAAAGCCATGTTTGATTACCGGAGGGTAAATATCGACAGAAATACCATATATCCATATATTATACCCTCTGGTAATTTAACGTAACTATTGAAAATGACCATTAATAGTGGATTTTCCCATTAAAAATGGTGATTTTCAATAGCTATGTTAAATTACCAGAGGGTAGTATCCATTGCATCAATATATGTCCAATAAAATGTCGCTTGTTCTTGAATGCTAGCATCGATAAGTTGAATCATATCAAGTACAATTGCATAACATGAATAATAGATGATTCATAATGTATCATATAGACATGATACGATATACGATGAATACGTATACATAATCATTATATATATATATATCGGTGTATATATATATATATGTATGTATGCAATATACATATATATATATATGCATGCATGTGTGTATCAACTGTAATATATATATATATATATGTTGTATATATCATATCAGTGTTTCAACGCATCAATCCATGAGTCCGTCCTGATTTCAGTAAAATTTGCACAGCCTCACAGCCTCTGTGGCCATTGGGTTCCTACTCCCAGCAATGGATCAAGGTGTTTTGGTACACATGGCTTGAAGTCTTGAAGCAGTTTTCCACTTGAACTGAGAATCTGTGAAAGACACATTCAAAATCAACCAAAGAAAAAGGTCCCCCACATTTGCAACAAAAGAGTTTTGAAAAGCTGATAAAGGCCAGTCAATTCTTCTGGCCGTTGTGATCTAACACGTGTATCCCAAATATATGTGAGTCGCAGATATCTGGTCGAATTATATAATATATATATATATATATATACGTGTAATTGTGTGTGCAACAATTATAGGTCACCAAACTGAAAAATGGATTCTAGCAGGTCCTGTTCAACCATCATTTCTTATATTTCTTATGGTGAAGATCTCTAACCTATATATACACCCCATCTCTGCTGCACCTCTTGCTGTACCGCTTCAGCCAAGTGCCGCTCCTCACCGAAAGTTTTTTGGGGTGGCGTCCTTTTGTTGACAACCATTTATGGCGAGGTCACGTATTGTTCCGAGAATTGGATCAGGGAAAAAATTACAGGCACAGGGCGGAGGTAAAAACCATGGTTTCTGGTAGCCTTTCGCTTAAACGAATCTATTGAGTTGTACGTTGCCAAGTATTGGCGCCATGTAACACTCGAGCACCGCTGCAATCCTCGTGGCCTTGGCAATTACATCCGAGATGAAGGGTCCACGTTTTGATTCAAAAAGTGAAATCCCTGAGCAAGCCATAGAGCCCATGATTTCACATGGAAATCACATGGAAATCACATGGAACAGTCCTCCAGTAGCAGTGGCTGCTTGGGGTCCAATGATGCCTCAGATCTTGGCCCGGGGACCGATCTGAAGCACTGGCTATTCCCTGGGAAGGACCTTAGGTTCGAAATGATGTAAAGGTGTATATATATATAATAGCATTATATAGCTATGTGTGATGGATATTACGAATACATATACATTATAATATATATTTGATTCATTTGATATACATTTGATATTATTTGTATACAGTACTTTCGATGTGTTTGAGCAAATGGATACATCACCAATAATGATGTCCTTTTGGTAAATAGAGGGGGCCGGTTTGGTTAATCCCATCTATCATCATTGACATGTTGTTTAAGGGGTTTCTTCAAACCCCTCTATTAATCAACCAACCAATGGTAAAAGGACATCCCTGCTGCTACATCAATGAATGGAAGCCATCAATCCAGGAAAACCTCTGCGGTTGGTCGCCGCACCGGCTGCCGGCCTGAATTACTGGCCACTGCCTGCATACGTATACATATATGAATACATGTAATATTCATACATAGTTATGTTTGTTTGTTTTTTTAAATGTGTATATATATATATGCAGGATAAAGATACCTCTGCATTGATATATGGCATATTTACATATTATATATATGTGATATACATATTAGGATGGGTTAAAACCTATGTATACCATATTTTGGGGGATGACCATCCTATTTACCACTCATTTTGGTCTTCCCCAGTGTTCACCAGCTGTCCCATAGCGCAGCCCGCACAAGCCAGGGACCAGCAAGGTTAACGCGCTCTCCCCGGACAGCATCCTCTTCCTCAGGGCGTTTGGACGCAGAGGGGTTTCCAAAAAGATGCCGAAAAGTGTTTCCAGGATGTTAGTTCGATGACATATTTCCTTCATAATTGCAAGGTGTTCAATTTTTCATATTTCTATAAAATATCTATTTCGGGGGTTGCTATAAGGCACAAAAAAAAGAACCGTAATTTACACACGGTATATCATGCGGGTATATCGCCAGCACATGCCAGCACTATGACCTTTCGGATTGTCATGGTTTGTCACAGAATGGGGGATTTGAGCCGTACAAAAAAGTGGATGCAAGCATCAAACGTAGGGACTTATCATGATTCAGTCATCACATAGGGATTCAACCACATACAATAAGATTTTGACCAATGAATGATTACAGTAGTATACTTATATTATTTTGGAATGATGTTATGTTTCAATCTTCTGGGGGTGGTATACACCAGAAAATCGCAGATTTCGTTGGAAAATCCATCAGTGGAACGAATCATGGAAGGAAACAACAAAAGTTTTGGACACACCATCAAAAACATTGGTCTAAGTTGGCCGCTTTTGAGCTTTGCAGTCCATGAACCTCTGAGCCCAGCATTTTTTGAACCCGCAAGGTATTCACTATGGCTGGCAAGTCCTGAGTCGCCTTAGCAACCAAAGCACTGGTTTTTTTCTGTGCGCATGCTGGGGAACATCTGACTGAAGCCATCCTTAGACCGCAACCAATTGGAAGATATTCATGGAGAGATGAGGCAATGGAATCCCATGAAAGTCTTGGGTGGCTGCAACCCTTAGGCACTCAGCAAGAATAAATCATAATAAATAAAGAACAACTAAACAAGTGCGCAGTGTGCAGTGTGAAACACATGGATCATGAATCACAAAAGATTCGCGTTCCTCCTTTTGTTCCTCATTCCATAAACATCCCAAATTCAGGTTTAACATGGTTTATACATGGTTTATACATGGTTTAACTGGCATTTAACTGGCATTTAACTGGCATTTAACTGGCATTTAACTGGTTTAACTACTTGCACAACCTAATATCAGCGGGATCCTAAAAGGATCCAGCCGCTGCCTTTTAAAAATGGGATGCCCCTCAGATCTCCATGGCCGCCATGACCTGGCGGTTCCCAGTGGTCCCAATTGCTTGGATTCCCATCATTATATATAATGTACAGTAAATATATATATATATATATAATTACATATCATTATGTATATAATACATATATATATATATAATATATCATTATCATTATCATCATTGCTGAATCCCAATGTTTCACTGTCAATTCACAGAGAGAAAAAAAAAACACGTTCTGCACTCTAGACTCTAGATATCTCTAGACAGTACACAGCAGCTCCAAGCACGTCTCACTTTCCTCGCGCTGTATCGCTTCTACTGCTCTGGATTCCTTCAGGAATTCCTGTGGGGTCGTCATGTCGAAGGGCAGCCACCGGGAGTTGCGAATTTGCCATCTGCACATAAGAAATAAGTCATCATCATACGACGCTGCATCTTGAATATAGTTGGGGAAGGCAGGCAAGTGAGGGTTGGATGGCCATATGTTTTATGTGGTTTCATATAGTTGCGTGAGTGCAGCTTCAATACTCCACCCTTCCAAGTGGGTGAAGCACCATCTCACAACCGCAGGGTCATACCAGAACTGCCTAAATCCCTGGTTGATGAACAGCACATGCATCAAAAACATAGACACAAATCAAACATGCCCAAAACAACACCCAATCTCTGAGATCCCAGGGTTTATTCATCCAGGATTTAGTTCTGTGTAGCAAGGACCTTTTTCAGGACACTTTTGGCCTCGGTCACCAACTCCCCTAAGCCCATCGTGGCCACTGACCATGGTTCTATGATAGATCTATGTTTCTTTGTTGCGCGCCGGCATCCCACATGGAGACGTCTCTCCGCAAACATTCGCTTGCGAAGAAATTCGCTAGAAGCGCCGCGCTGCGCCTACTTCCCAAGCATGACTTTTTGGCGGGGATTGGTGTGTGGACTGAAACTATCCAGATCCAAACAGTAAGTTGGGATCATCATCCCAAAGGTTAAACATATTTGAAATTCACAGCCATAAAACATTAAAACCCAACAAAAAAAAATCTAAAAGCATTGAAACTTGCAAACATGAATCTGATTGCAGGAAAGGTGTCCTGTGGACTAGGAGTGCTCACCCCCTTGTCCCTTGTACTGAGTTGACGGCCAACTGTTTGGAGGCAGTCAATCCAAACAGTTTCCAGATTCAGAAGCGTTGCATGGATTGGTGCCTCTTGCACACGCTGGCAACTAGAGGGCGTACCCGGCAGTTGGCTGATGATCGCGTCTGGTCTGGCAATAGGGTAAGTGAGAACCTAGCAATGGCGGGTTTCCATATGAGTCCATATCGTGAAAGATAGCAATGGGTGACCCATGCTACCTTGCCAGAACGCCAGCTGAACTCCCCAAACAAAAAGGAGCAAATCATTGATTGTAATAAGGAACGCTATTGTCAATTCAATTGTTTTAAATAGATCATGGTGTACATAAATGTCATTTTCACTGGCGCATAGTGATGGAACAAAACAAAGTTCTTTGATCCCGGGCGCCTGTTTCGAACTACCACTCTTTGCGATTTCATCCCCAAAGGCCATAAACACCCGCACTGACTCTTCGGCGACACTAAAACATGCCGTAGGCTTTGCCACAGCCAGTGGTGATCTGGAACTGTTGCTGTCACGTTCTATTGGTGTTCTACTAATGTCGATGTTCTATTATACCAATTGATGGTCTATTATCAGACTATCACATGTCAAATGTTGATGCTGTAGTATGCATATGTCTATTATATCATATATATATATATAAAGGCGTTCTGTTTTTGATGTTCTATGCTCTATTCATCTCTATTCGTTGATGTTCTCCTAGAGGTATCAACCCTTCAATTGGGATTCTCATCCCGGGCAGGATGAAACATAAGAAATGGAACCCACATCCAAATGGTCATCTGTTGGTCTACGTTGACCATCTCACCCTGTACCTAACTAGATTTCTCAACCTATATTATCTATTAGCCCATTCGTCTGGATTTCACCGAGTTGGTTCAAAGGAAACTTAATTACAGCACAGGAAAGGATGGATTTTTCCAGGCAAGTATCCGGTATAAAACCCATGGTTTTCTTCCATGGTTTTTCCTTAAACATCCGTTTAAACCCATCTGGTAGGATCGAGCCTCCCCCGAAGTCATCCCTGAGTTCCTTTCCACTGGCATTGCGGCAAATGTCCACGACCGCCTGGTGAAACCGCTGTGGATTTGGTTCAAGGAAAAGGGCGCCTTGCCACAGAATCCTCCGGATGTCTGGCGCAAATTCAGGCGCAGCTTCGACGGGACCCTTCCTCACTAGGCCAAGGGTTAACTCTATCTATACGTATAATACACAGACACACAATATTATATATATATGTGTGTTCTATTATACCATATAGATATATACAACTTTCAATCAGTTTTAATATATATATACATAAATATATATCATTAGATTATTATTGCTATTATATATATATATATGCAACGTTCAAAAAGTTTAAACATGTTCGCCCCAACCCGCAACCCGGACGTTGCTCCACACTTACAATCGTCATGAGCATCATCATCACCATCACCATCACCATCACCATCACAATCACCATCATCATCATCATCATCATCATCATCATCATCATCATCATCATCATCACATCATCACATCATCACATCATCACATCATCACATCATCACATCATGATCATCATGATCATCATCACATTAAAATTCGCCACCCCCTCTGAACAATATGTTGACTGGGGTAATAACATCAACTTTATCTTCATAGCCACCTGAAGTCAGATGCGGCGCAACGTCAGGGTTGCAGCGAACATGTTTTAACAGCACAGCGGCTAAGCGGCATAACGCCGCTTAGCCTAGTCAGATGAAGCGAAATGCACACGCACCCGCTGTTGAGGCGCAGCTGCTTCCCAACACGACAGTTGGGGACACAGGGTCACCTCCACCATAGAGGCCTCAGCGCCATGGCCGTCTGTTTGTTGGATTCAACCCATCCCACAAAGAAATTGTTGATTTGGATACATGATTGCATGTATATTATATATATATATCATTATTATATATAAAATATAAGATATAATATAATACTCAGACTGTCATCCCAAACAGGGATGCAAAGTCGAGAAGGTTAACCAGTTGAGTTAGTTGTCCCAACTTTAAGGTTGCACCTCCCATAGCTGGGAACGACGGAAAAAACCGCATCAAACAGCACCTCACTGATTGGTGGTTTAACCCAGTTTCCAAAATAATCGTTCGTGTCGGATCATCGAATCAGAGTTCCAAGTAGGAATGGAAGCTAAATGACAACATGATGAACCAAGAGAGTTTTTCCTGTGTTTTCCATCAAGAAATTCAATAAACAGCAAAAGATTTGAAGCCATCACAGTAAGCAGGAAGGTATATCTTACGATATTTACCAGTTTACCCAGTCTTTTGAGTTGATCCTGTTTATCCCAAGTAGCAGCCACTTCGCACTGACCCGGTTCCTCCTCATCCTCTACCGGCAGCTCGCTGACGGACATGGCATGCTGCGTGGTTGGACCCGTGGTTGGAGGCCTACGCGTCACCATGCGTCATTTAAGTGAAGCACTTAAGCCGGATCATCATCACTTTAATCACTTGTCGTTCATATGTTTGCGAGGTAAATCGGAATGTGCTGTATGCCCCATGGGAGCCCCAAACGAGCAGTCTCCATCATTGAAGTTTCAACCTTGCTAACTTGCCTTGCATATGCTTGACCTGTGCCTGCATGCATCTATATACATCTGTATATGTGTGCAAAATTGTGCAAACATGAAGCAATGCCCCTATATGCGTGCAAATGGATTTTCATTCATGTATTTAAAAAGTTGAACATCTGCATTTATTGTCTATATTATCTGCATACCAGTACATCCATATGTTGTTTCAGATCTACCCTCTTGTAAACTGCAAACTGGATCCAGATGCCTCTGCACTTCGCGACCAAGTCCTAGGCCCGTATGTTGATGGTTTTTTGGGTGGACCAAAAACCGTGGATCCGAATCCATGGTGACTAAGGGGATATGAAAATGTATTGAACATACAATTTATACACTGTAAACCCCCAATTTTGGTGTGACCCTCAGCAAAATTCAGCAAGTATAATTACCCCATGCATGCCCATGCCCAGAGCTCTCCTTTGAAGGGCAGGTTGAGTTCACAGGATATTGGGATGACTGGGTTTTCACGCCTCCTTGTCCAGTTCAAAATTGTTCAAATGGAAAATGGTCATGAGTCAATGGTACTTCAGTGAACAAATCAATCAAGAATTTCTGTCAGTTTCTGTCAGTTTCGGTTTCAGGGGTTCCACGACAAAGATCGGATGGGTGCCAGATCCAGGATGTCTCCATCCCAAATGCTGGCAACCGCGTCCGTCGGGTTGACCTGCCGCATCCTGGACGCAAAGGGTGAATGATGGGTCCGGGGTCCTTGGTTTAAACTGCCATAAATGAAGGATGTGTCAACAAACCGAAGCTGGCTCAATCTTGATATCTTGATTAGTCTCCAGAACATTCCAGAACCTGTCTGACTAGCACACTTTGGCCTGCTCGGATCCCGCATTTTCCAACAGGGATGGAACATGATGGAACATAGCAAGTAAGAAATACATAGAAATACATAGCATTTATGCCCTGCAGTCGGTTCATGACCGTGGTCTCAACAACTCCACGTTGAACAAATATCCGTCAGCTGGGTAAATTGATGATTTTCTTGCCCACTTTGTTGTCTCCACCTCGTTGGTGTTTAGCTTCCGGCAAGGCGATGGATGACACTTGGGTTAATTTTGGCTCTCTTTAGTCTTTCACCTTGCCCTCCTGGCTCCTCTTCTTTCTGTTCAGGCAAAAAACTGACTTGCTCCCACCACCCTTCCCCAATCCCATCAAGGCAAGCAGCATCTTGATTTGCTGAGTACTTGCAGGGTTTTGCATCACAAAAACACCAAGGAAGGCATCTAGGCCTTGGCAAAATGTGACGGGGGTTACTTCCAACATTGCAGTATGGCTTAGGAAACGAACCGTGAACCGGGAACCGAACCGTTCAGGAACCAGCAGGCTAAGAACCGGCACGAACCGAACCGCCAATTATTCTTACGCAAACCGAATGGGCACGAACCGAACCGCCAATTATTCTTACGCAAACCGAATGGAACCGAACCGGTTCCACATTCTCAAAAAAATTATTTTGTCAGCTTCCGGGGGTTCCGAAAATGATTTTCGCGAATTGAAAATCAAATTGGAAAGAGGAATCAACTGTAATGAATGGATTCCTGCGCAACATAATCTGCCAAAGCGCTGCAGGAATTGCAAATGATCAGTGCTGGCTGCTACTACTGCTACTACTGCTACTACTGCTACTACTGAAACTACTGAAACTACTGCTACTACTGCTACTACTGAAACTACTGAAACTACTGCTACTACTGCTACTACTGCTACTAACAACTGTTGCTATTACTATTACTGTTGCTATCACCACCACTACTGTTGTATATTATATTGCTACCTCTATTACTAGCTTCTCTGCCCGTTCCTGTTCGGCAAAGCCCTGTCGGGACCCATACCTGCTGGGGAACCGCTTACGAGAGGCTACTATTTTTCTTACTCGTAGTCTTACTAGAACTAGTATTACTTCTTTACTATTATTACTAATTCTACTTATATTGCTGCTACTGCTACTGCTACTGCTACTGCTACTACTGCTTACTACTGCTACTACAACTACTACTACTACTACTACTACTACTACTACTACTACTTTTTCCACTTTTTGCCAAAACAACTCCGAAAATGATTTTCGCGCAGTGAAAATCAATTAAGGAAAGCATCTAACAGTATTCGTCCTAGTACGGCTAGACTACTACTGCTGCGACTATTACTATTACTGTTGCTATCACGACCCCTACTGTTGTATATTATCTACCTCTATTACTAGCCTCTCTGCCCGTTCCTGTGAGGCAAAGCCCGGTCGGGACCCAGTCTTACTAGAACTAGTATTACTTCTTTACTACTATTATTACTAATTCTACTTATATTGCTGCTACTGCTACTGCTGCTGCTACTGCTGCTGCTACTGCTACTGCTACTGCTACTGCTACTACTGCTACTACTGCTACTACTGCTACTACTGCTACTACTGCTACTACTGCTACTACTACTACTACTACTAAAACAACAACAACAACAACAACAACTACAACAACAACTACTACTACTACTACTTTTTTCCACTTTTTGCCAAAACAACTCCGAAAATGATTTTCGCGCAGTGAAAATCAAGTTAAGGAAAACATCTAATAGTATTCGTCCTAGTACGGCTAGACTTTTACTGCTGCTACTATTACTATTACTGTTGCTATCACCACCCCTACTGTTGTATATTATCTACCTCTATTACTAGCCTCTCTGCCCGTTCCTGTTCGGCAAAGCCCTGTCGGGACCCATACCTGCTGGGGAACCGCTTACGAGAGGCTACTATTTTTCTTACTCGTAGTCTTACTAGAACTAGTATTACTTCTTTACTACTATTATTACTAATTCTACTCATATTGCTGCTACTGCTACTGCTACTGCTACTGCTACTGCTACTGCTACTGCTACTACTACTACTGCTACTACTACTACTGCTACTACTACTACTACTACTACTACTTTTTTCCACTTTTTGCCAAAACAACTCCGAAAATGATTTTCGCGCAGTGAAAATCAAGTTAAGGAAAACATCTAATAGTATTCGTCCTAGTACGGCTAGACTACTACTGCTGCGACTACTACTATTACTGTTGCTATCACCACCACTACTGTTGTATATTATATTGCTACCTCTATTACTAGCCTCTCTGCCCGTTTCAAACATTCAAAAACCAAATCCCTCTGCTGCAACATAACATTACTATTTGATATTCATCCACACCCACTCTGTCAAAGACCTCTCGTCCTGCAACATTACACAACACGAACCGAACCGAACCGAACCGAACCGCCATGTCACACGAACCGAACCGAACCGAACCGCCATGTCACGCGAACCGAAACGAACCGGCCTGCTGATGAACCGAACCGCCCCTATTTGAGGTTTCCACGAACCGAAACGAACCTAAACGAACCGAAGCCTTCCTGACATTGCCAGTTTGATCACTTCAACCAAGTTTCACTCCATGTTCAAACTGTATGGTGGGCAATGCCCACTAGCAAACTGGGACAGTTGCGTGTCGTTTGATATATCATGATAAATAGCCTCGAATGATCTTGATTGCATAGACTTACCGTCAAATAATATATGCATATCATATCTATTGGTAAATGTCCCTTCTTCCCTACATACTCACACATCCATATCTAAATCTGATTATCTACTATCATATTTGCTCGCTCAAACCTGTGTATACCACTTCTGCCGCAGTAGGGTTGACCCGGGATCCACGAGCGCCATGGATTCCTTAAGCCTTAGGGTCATCCCAAAAATAGTAACAAATTACATCAAATTACTATCCGAATAATTGGTTGTCCAAACTGGTGGTTTACACGACACCAAGCGGCTCAATGCCAGAAGGAGGGGTCCGATCATCAGCGCGACGATCAGAGCCACAATCCAAGTGAACAGCCAATCGCCAGCATCGATTTGGCTCACGTTGCCCAAAAATATCACCGTGAGGTAAATGCAAAACAGGCCTTGGTTAACAGGGTTGCTCCCAACACCCCAACCAAAATATATAGGATCAATTGGCAATTAATTGGCTAAAGATAGAGGCAAAATGACTAAAAAGTACCCGCTTGCGGCTATCTATAATGGGTTCGAGCAACCCTGGTTAGCAGGCCATTGGTCTTAACGTTGTTAGGAGAATGCAATGGCATTTGACAGCATACTATACTGAGGGGAATATCATATAGATCATATAGGATACCCAATCTAAATGGCCATTTAATCAGGAATCTAAAACGATGAACCACGTGATTTGCGGCAAAGTCGTGCCCCATAAATTAATCCAACTTGCATATTTTTTTATTGGGGAAATTCTGATGAACCATGGAGAAAATGATGGTCAATGGGGAAACAACCGAAAATCCATGGGCGAAAGGTGGCCGAAATACCGTCCCAAACCAGGTGATGGAACGAAATGGAACGGGATAGGATGGTGTAATGTATAAGTGTAACGTATGTATTTGAAAGGTGTTGTCCAATAATTTTGTGTATTATAAATATATATATATACACTACGTATCATTCTGCACATGTATATATATATATATATGTACACATATGTGTATATATATATGTGTGTGTATCTGTATGCATATAGATAACATGTATACATATAAATATACATGTATATATGTATGTATACGTATGTGTAAATATATATATATATACATGCGTATATGTATATGTGTGTATGCATTGTATATATAGTTGTATATACATATAGTATATATTAGTATTTGTATATATATATATAGTATTCACATACATGTATAAAATTGCATATGTGTATGTGGCATCTATATATATATAATGTGAATATACTGTGATATGTCTTTTATATATATATAATAAATAACTCTATATATATATGCACTCTACATTGACCTTGCTAATGTCTATTGTTCTTCTGTATGTTGTCATTTCTCAAGAGGGCTCCGTTTTCCAAGCACCTCTTTCCGAGGTGCTGAGAAACAGCTGCAGGATCGCAAAAATCACCAGAGACAGCATAACACAGCGACCATCCAGCCCAGGTTGTCCTGGAAGCTGAAGGCACCGGGTTTGTAGCTGTACACATCTGTAAACCATTGTATACATGAGTCATCATGAGTCTAAATGTCTGAATATGTGTTCCAGAAACCAAAGTGCCGTAAAAATCATCAATCAAATTGGGGCATCATGGTCTTGTGGATGTGGCATTTCAACCGTTTCAACTGGGATATTTTTGACCTCTTCGGCCATCCCCCAATATGGGATGCTTCCCCTGAGGATCAGGCAATGCGAGTTGATGGGATTCAATGGGAGTTGATGGGATTTAATGGGAATTGTACACCAACTTTTGAAAGATAAGGAAACTGATGTGACAAAAAAAGGTCCCCATGGGTGATGCTGGATGATGATATGCATAAGCTCACAATCCGTCAGAGATCTACTTGAGCTTTGCTGCTTCCGGTGGGTCATTGATGGTCATTGCCAAGTCGGATGGTGTGCCCAACTCATCTTAAGGAATGTTACATATAGCTCAAATGATGCCAATTGTGACTCACCTTTCCAACTAGGCGGTGAAGAGAATGTACCTTTGAGACCAGCAGCCAGTGCATGTGTTACCAGCTGGTAGGATTGTTTACCGTATAGCAACCCCACAAAAAGATGCCGAAACGTGTTTCCGGAAGGTTAGATTAATATAGATGCTAGTTCATACTATTTCATAGATATGTCCAGGTTTGCCATACTTTCCCACCATTTTTGGCATTTTTTGGGGGAGTTACTAAACATCGAAACTCCAATAGCCTGATCGCTTGCGGGTCGAGCATCTGATCACCGGTAGCAGCATCACTAGCCAAGACCTGACGTTTTTGACGACTCATTTGGGGACCCAATGAGGCCCAAAATAGTGATACTGTATATATACATATAATTGTATATAATTTATATAATTATATAACTCATATCCTTGTAGTGTAGGATTGTATCATGTATATATACTGTATACCTCATGATCCAAATCTACTCAACCATGTTCAACCTTCTATTGGGCAAACGTCCAGGGTAAAATCCGGGGTGAATCATATCATCGCCCAGGTGCAGAAGTCCCATATAGGTCCCGGCCAGGATTTTGTCCTGCAGACTCCGGCTGGAAATGCAGCCCTCATGCAGACTCCGGTGGAAGGAGGATGAGGCATAGGCTGCTACCTGAGTGTCCGAGCCACAGTCCAAATCCCCAAAGGATATCACCCAAACGCAGGGGAACACAGGTAAACATATACCTAATATGGTATGTATGGGAAAATACTCTAAGATACTCCAAGCACAGTGAGTCAGAAAGAGGGCGTGCTAGGCCAATCTAGCCCACAGTCGCAACCTACCGATTGTTCATGGAACCCCACAAACTGCCATTTCCAAGGGAAAAAGACTGTTCAAGAGCCATTCCTTGGGGTTCCATGGTAAATTTCAGGATGGCTCAGGGAAAAGCATAGAAAAACAAATAGAACAACACTCTCTCTCTCTCTCTTTCTCTCTCTCTCTCTCTCTCTCTACATCGCCCTCTCCAAATTGAAAAACTACAAGTACTAGTTACATCTAATTACCAGTTAATTTACCATCAACAAGGCATGATAATCATAATATAGTTAATGAGATCATGAAATTCAATGTCACCTGAGAAAACTCGCTTGCTGTCAAGCGGCAGTTAGGGCGGAAGCAGTCAGCAATTGATTCACCTCAGAAAGCGAATCATTCCAGGCACTCGAAAACAAGAGGGTTTTGAGATGTTTTGAGCCAATACATAACACACACACAGACAGAGAGAGAGAGACACACACACACATATGTATAGTATATATATATTATAAAGATAGTGTTTTATGTTTTTTTTGGGGTGGATAATGTCTGCCCACAGCTACACAAACTGTGGGGATCTAAGAAATAGCTATATTGAAATGAAACAAATTGTTTCAAATGGAGAAGCAACTGACAAAGGGTGAAATTGGATTAGCTTTGCAGTTATGCGGGGAAACATGTAACAGATGGCAACAACGTAATAATGCTGTGTATGTTGGATTGCCATCCGACCATCATGGTCATTAATTATATGTCATTATATGGGCTGGTCCTGGATGTTTTTCACCCTGTGTCAACCCAAACAACAAAATCATCATACACTAAGTCACTAAGCCGTTGAACTTATAGAACAATAAACCCCATTTGAGGGGACGGCTTACAATGCGCAATCATATTCCCAAATGCTGCGGGGACGCAGCTAAGGCAACTCGAGAAGCGTGGGAGATGTAGAAACTCAAGCAGCAGGCTTTGTTCCAAGGGTGGATAGATCCGAACAGGATCATCCATCGCCTCATAGGAATGCAGGTGCAGGAGTGAGCATGATAGATTCTGATAGATTTCTTGAATTTTGTTGATATTCCTAGTTTCTTTCACTAAGATCACTGCTAGGTGCTTTCCATTCTGCGAAATCTGACCGGAAATGAAAATCTTGTCGATTCAGATCAATCAATAGGCTCTGCTCGCTGCATGACACGCGATGGCAAGTCACCATAGAAAAACAAAGCAGCCTCTTTGCAAAAAGTCCTCTTTGGCGCTGGATTCTGCTTGGGGTGGAGGAAATGGGTCTAGACATGTCTAGACTCTGGACGTAGATGTCCAAAAATTCATTCTGGAGGAGGGGGTTATATATATAATATTATAATACATATGCTGAAGACCGGCCCCCTAAGGAAACTTGACTGACGTCAATCCCGGATTAACAAACTCCCGTTGTTTTTTTGGGGGAAGCCCCAAAAAAAAAACAAACGACAGACCATCAAAACGTGCCTATTAATGTTTATTGATCCTGGTTCAACACGGCGTAGTAGTGTTGAACTGGTTTGAACTGAAGCAATACGAGCGAAAAGTACCAAACATCTTGGACCCAACTACCATGGCACAAATGGACGGACAACTCCCGGAAATTGTCTTTGAGATGAGTGAGATAAGACATTTATCAATGGGATTTGTTGAAATATGATATGCCCCTCTTACTAAGCATCTATCTAAAGCTAATTTCAGGATACTTCAGGCATCACACCGAGGAATCTGGGATCTTGATGGATCTTGGCCCAGCCAGGCCCAGCCCCTTTTAGACCAGTCTGATCCGCTGCTTCAGTTCCGGTTCAATTCCAAGAAGTCACAAACCTTCCATCACCAGTCCACCCAACATCGATGGTTTCCATCAACTTACCTGTAGTCATTGCCCCACAGTCACGGGCTGAAAGGCATGTGCTTCCAACATCGGTCTGGCCGCGCTTTCTTTTTCGCAGAACTTCCTGCTTGTTGTCTACACACTGCACACTTCATCTGTGAAGTGAAGCTTCAATAGCTTCAATCTAGAAGCGCATCACAATCACACGTATGAATAATGTGCGACGCCGAACCGGTTCCGACTTTAAGATGGAGTTGACGGAAGGAGACGTCATTTCGTTGCGCTGTTCATTGTTTCTCATTGTTTCTGAGGTGAAACGCCGTTTCCTTTCCTCTCACTCCAGCGGAATTGTCTCAACGCCAAAAATGGGTCTCAAACCCATTGCTATACATAGTCAGGTCGCCCCAAATGTGCGAGCATGCTCGAAAGCACTCCCTGTCAATCTGCAAGAGTTCCTCCTGTCCTAAGTTAAATCAAACAAATATTTCGTTAGGGCACTTCAGGATCAACTTATCCACAAAAGATATGATATATGTGCCCTTACAAGGAGGAACTCTGCGGAAAGTGCCCGGCCTGTGCAGGAACAAACCCTTGAGCCACAACCAGTCACATCTCGCGCTGTACATCCGCCTTGCGGCCCACAAACATTCCTTGAATGATCTTGCCTTCTTGAGCCAGATTCGCCATGAACTCGAAGTCAGAGATCAATTTATCGTATGCCTCTTCATCCCATCCCAACAATTTCTTGGCGTCGTACACTGCTTGCCGCTTGAGCATGTGCACATAGCTGTCCATAGCAGGTGAGTAGCGACCACTGTTCTCCGCGATCTCAACCTCAAAGCCTGCCTTCTTCAGCATTTGCGCATACTCCTCCACAGTGGGGATGGCAGGGAATGTCATCAGGCTCAAGAATCTCTGCGCCTCAGGGTCTGATAGACCTTCACCCTCGATCCAGTCGGTAAACATGACTTTCCCTCCGGGCTTTACGATGCGAGCCGCTTGGTCAATGATCTGTTGTTTGTCAGGCATGTAGCACCAAGCATCCTTGCTGTACACAAAATCAGCAGAGGCATCCTTCGTGCTGTGATGTCTCACTGGGGTTGGTGGCTATTGGAGGGGGCAAAAAGACTCAGAAAAGGCAGCAGTGGAATATACAACTATCCCTGAGACATCCTTAGATACCCCATCAGCTCCATCATATCATCACCAGCAGGCAGGCCTTTCTGGCTTACTTGGAGGCCTGGGTTCCTATCCAGAAATGTTCTTGGCCAATTTATGACAAACTGCAACATCTTAAAAAATGAGCTGAGTTGATGTCCTTTCAATCCACAACCAGTAGAAGACATCCCTGCACTTTTCAAGACACTTTGCCGAGACATGTTTTTTTTTGGTCCTCTTTAGTCCATCTTTGTCTGTATACCTTTGTCCGCAACATCTTCCAAAATGGGCTGACTGGTGTTCACACCGCAACAAGTAAAGAGAAGTGAAGAGAACACTTTTCTTCACAAGAGACATTGCGGAGAACACAGCCCCACGTCCGACCAACAAAAAATGGCAGGTGGGTTGCAATAGGCCTCCAGACCCTGATAGTCTTGTCAAAACATGCCCAAACTATCCACTGCGATTACAAGTATATATTGAAATTATATATTGAAAGTGCAAGACTGTCATGGATGCCACAATGGCCCAACCCCAGGCAGCCAATCTGGACAAGGATCCGGGAGCCCATTCACCAAAGAGTTCTTGTTGATGAACTTGATCTTGTCACTGAGCCCCTCCTCCTCTGTCCTCTTCCTGCCAGTCTCCACCACGGACTTAGTGAGTTCCACTCCGATCATGGAGTCCACGCTTGCGAGGCGGACCAAGGCACGCATGCCTCCACCATTGTTGCTGTTCAGCTCAACTCCCTTCATCCCTGGCCCCACTTGAGCCCTGTGAGCTAGCTCTAAGGTGGAAGATGCTCCGCCAATGTCGATCTGCTTCCCCATGACCAGCTCCCACACACTTTGATCCGGACCTCTGTAGCACTTGGCAACGGCATCCGCGTCGGCTGCATCTTGCTCGGCCAGAATCTTCATAGCGTAGGAATTGCACCAAAGTGTCGACAAGACCGCAAGCTGCCCAAACACCATCAAAAAGCCGGGCCAAGCTACGTCAAAAGTGCCAGACAAAACAAGCTTTTTCAGCCAAACTGCTGGGAAAAAGGGGAAAATTAACGCAACATCGCGCAACCAGGTGCAGCACAAGCCACAATCAAGCCCTAAGTAAGACACGGGCTACAGCGGCTACAATTCATTCCTATGGCTCTATGGCTGCGCTGTAACTTCACAATCGGGTGAAGTAAATCCCCAAAATGGTTTGGTTTGCTAGCAAAAATGCCTTGGACCGGTGGTGTTCTGGGCCTTAACTTTTGACCCGATGTTTACTGACTTTACTCAAGCCCTGGAGTTTTGGTCCAGACTATTTGGTAAAAAAATAGTGAAAGATTTATGCACACAAATTGCCATATTGGACATTGGAAGGTTACCAAAAACATTGCATACAATGGCATACAATATCCTAAAATCCTGAGTACATATTTTTGTTAGGACAAATATGGCCCATACCCATGCCATCCCCCACTCCAAAAAAAGACTCTGGATTTGTTTATCAGAGGTCTCCGCAACATAAAATGTGAAGTTTATGTATCGTTGTTTTCCATGTTTTTTCCTTACCCGGCAAGGATCACCCTTCCTGTGCCATTTGAGTTTGTCTCAAAAAAGACTACCTATCCCTAAATCCATGGTGGATCGTCAATTGCATTATTAAACTGACCATAATTTGGGGAGATATACTGCAGTAATCATTCAAACACTCCATACGCAGCATTCTCCTCTGCCAGTTGGTTGTACTTCTGCCGTGAGGCACGGTTACCCAACTCCTGAAGGGCAAGACGTACCTAGGTGTCTGATAATGGGCTATGCCCGCAAAATTGCAGGTTTAAAGGGGCATATGATAATTGATCTTTGGAGTTGTTTCCCTCTTTCTCTCTCTCTTTCTCTCTCTCTCTCTCTCTCTCTTTCTCTCTTTCTCTCTTTCTCTCTTTCCCTCTTTCGCTCTTTTTCGTTTTCTTTCTCTCTCTCTCTCTCTCTCTTTCTCTCTCGCTTTCTCCATGTCTTTCTCCAGTTCTTTCTCCATTGCCATCTGAGGGATAGATTTACAGCAAGGGCACCCAATTTTCAAACAAACCCAACCAAGAGCTATCTTTTCTACCCTCCTTTATCTTTATCTGTCTGATCTTTGCTATCCATACATCCCCGATCATCCCCGTATCTACCCAATGGATTCATCCATCAACATCTACTTGCCAGCAATCGACTAATCATTGATCAAGAACTCCATCCATCTATCTGTACATCTCGGCCTCCGTGATCATGGTTGGATCAATTGTCTCTTGTCGTGTTCCAGATGGACATTCTGCTTCAAGAACATTATCAACTGATATCAACTGTATACGTTCTGAGCCATACTGAGCCAACAGGGAGTAGGTTGGTCTTCCGATTGATGGATACACAAATGGGATCTTAAATGGGTATGGGTCAACATCGGCAACCCCAAACAAATGTCCAAAAGTGGACGCTTCAGCCCATTTTCAGATACAGTACCGCTTTGGCGGCTACCCCATGTCCTTCTCTAGAAACTCGCCCTCCTTGCCTGTCGTTCACGGTCAAGTCTGTCAGCTGGGCTCGTGGGATCCCATTGAATTCCTTTCAATGTCTGATTCTATTGTTTAAATATAACTAATATATACTAATATGATATCCAAAACATGTTTACACTAGATTTACACAGAAAGAACATGAAAGAAGTATTTGATCCTGGATTGCTGAGATTTGCAAGAGCCTGTCCAACAAAAGTTCACAAGAAAAAACAGCCTCAGCTCCTTGGCAGCACAATCGATTCCGAATGATTCTGAGATGGGGGAAAAGGTGGGAAAAGAAATGTGTCCCAAGGAAAATGATCTACAATTTGTCTGTTTTCCACAATTTGTCTGGTTTCCATTGTTTTCCAATGTTTTCCATGTCTTTGCTGATTTGCAGGGCTTTGACCCCATGCTGCATAGTTGAGTGGAATGAAACCCCAACTTTGTGGGCCCCCCATTTTAGATTTAGAGCCCATAGCAGCTAATGAGAATGCATGCCAATACATACTAATGCAGCCCCGCCATGCCCCCTGCATCCCCCTACTAGAACTGGAGTACAAACCCTGCAGGTGTCCCAGCCTTTGCGAGTCGATGCGTCAAAGACCTCAAATATCTGAGAAGCTTACCCAAGGGTAATGCCAAAAGCCCCAAGCCCCTGACATCCCTGACCGGCGCAAGATCTAGCAAGGCAACTATCTTGTGCACAAAAAGGTTGCTTGGATTCTAACATCATGTCTGCATGTCTGACTGGCAAAATTCACACACTGACCTAGCCAACGTTTGCCCTAATTTTGCGCGTGACAAAAGCTTGCGTGTTGAAGGGTGTCCTACAGGTTTTTACAGAAACCTCTGGGCAGATTGGCAAATTCAACCTGGGATTGATAAAGCTCCAGTGCAAGCCCTGAGAATTCAAATGATGACTTGGTTGCAAGTTGAATTCGTAGATCACCATTGAATCACCATCACCATTAATGTGGTACAGTAAAGCAATCAAACATCCCCAATTTTATCAAAGAACAGGTGGTCTAAACCCTCCCAAATGGTAGCTTTACAATGGTCTACCACATTAATCATCCCACAATGAGAGTCGTCTGCAGCACTGTCACCACTTCCACCATTGGGACCATCGAAACAGCCAAGGGACATAGTCAATGACCTTCTGCAAGTCAGCTGGCAAAACACCTGAGGCTGGGTCCCATGGATGATCATCATTTTCATCGCTGAATGGCCACAAATTGAGCTATGATAAGCTGCACTTTTTGAAGCCTCAAATATATTAAATATCGTCAAATCATCCAAATCTACGGTGAATTCCATTGAAAATATTGACATGTCATGACATGTCCACTTAATTAAATCCCCATTCCCCATATACCACTCTTATATCACCTAAATCCCCACGGGTTTTTCTACGAATTTTACGAATCGCCATCCATCGAAACAGCCATGGCACGCAGCTGCGCCGCCTGCACGTGCCCTAAGATCTGGTGAGCGCTGTGCGCCACGAAGCCAAGGAAACCCACCTGGACCTCGGCTGTGCTGCGCTTCGTCTTGGATCCGTCCTGGAGGATTTTCGGATCGGTCAGATATGGTCAGATGGTCATGGATGCGACCATTCGACCATGATTGGATCAAATGGGGAGATCTGCAAATGTAGATTTGCATATACTTTGTTTGCATGCATGTAAGAACTATGCATATGATTTCTATATATTACTATGCTAAATATGGACACAAACATGGTGTATATATATATGGGTGTGTGTGTGTGTACATATATATATATATAAATTATATATATATTATACATATATACAAAAAAAATAATATACACAATAAATAATATATAATGTATATATATTATACATTATACATATAATCATATAACATGTACATGGTTCAGTGAGGTACGGTAGATATCATGGGGATGTGAACCAAACAACGTTGGGATATTGATATTGCTGGATCTGACAGCCAGCAAGTCAACATCCCAAAATCCCAGCTTATCTTCCATAGCAATCTACCACTGATGCAGTACTTTGGCCTCCACCACTCCATGGAAATGAGGTATCTTCCCATCTTTGCCGCTTAAACCATTTTAAACCCACATTGATGCTGACGAAGATCTGACTTCATATATTTCATGGCGGTGAGAATCTAACACTCTACTGGATGATCGAATTCATCTAGAAACGTTGCAGATCACTGGAGGGCACCTGCTACCAGTATTGCAGGTTAACATCCGTCTTCGTTCGGATGAAATCATGTCTGTTGGGAGATAGCATTCAATTCAAAAAAGCCATTGTACTCTAAAAAATGATGGCTTCTCATGAGTTTCCATCGCCAGCTTGCCAGAGGTCTCTGCTTACTTGTTTTCATCATATTCAGCTAAAATCCCGATTCCCAAGACTATCCAAAAATTCGATGGTGTTGAAATCCCAAAATCATATGTTCCATCTAGTTTCATCTATAGTTTCTATCATGTTCATTCATTTTCTATATGCTTCGATTGGATGATCCAAGGACCCCATCAACTTCCAGCAGCTCACCCCGTCTCCTTCGGCGGCGCCCACCGTCCATCCAGCTGTGCAGTTCTGAGGCGCTGCCACAGCATGCGATCCGTCACACAGGAGCTGATCAAGGCCACCAGCATCAGGCAGAGAACCTGGTCCACTGGAAATCTATGAGGAAATCTTGGGAAATTATGGGAAATTTATATAGCGAATCTACAATAGAATCAGGATTTGATGGGATTTGCTTGATGTTTGACTCAAACAAATATGATATTCCCATTTCGATTCCCCAGTTCTTTCTGTTTCTATTCCCATTTCGATTCCCAAGTTCCCTAGATTCCCCATTGCTAGCGGATATCCCATTGGGACAATCAAAATGCGCCGACTCAGCAAATCGGGGTGGTGTTTCCCGCCCAAAATAGAAAACCCAGCGGGAAAAACATAAAAACTTCACCAGGCACGAAAAAAGGATCCTCATTCTTCTGCTTAGTTTTCCATGCTGGTTGCTTCATCTCTCCAAATTCATGATGACAACTTATATTGTGTCAGTCACCCGTGAAGACAAACATGGAGAAAAAAACGTTGCTGTTGAAAACTGTCATTGGGTTCCAAGGCCTAGTTTTGAGATGGTTTGAATACCAAGCTTTGTTGGTGCCACCAAACTTCCCAAGGCGTTCAAATGGGTCTGCCCCCATGATGGTTCGCGCAGCACGGTGCCCAGCTACTGAAAAGAAGGTCATCCCAGCACCGGAGGACCACCAATCAACTGGCGACGGATGTTGTTAGCCCTCGAGCACTTTCAAAGCTTTCAGGACATGGTGCGAACACATACGCTAATATAGCATGTATACACACTTCACCGATGCATTATGATACAGTAATATATATATATATGATAATCATGTAATGTATAATATGTTGCACAGACAAAACCTGAGTTTAAGTTTGTGGGTCGCGTCCCCCCCCCAAAAAAAAAAGCAGCCGTGAGTACGCCATTATGTCGGCCCTAACCAAGACAAAAAAAAGAGCAACAACTACAACCATTCTTTGGCACACCCGTGGAAACTAATGTTACAAAGCCAATGAGAAACCATGTCCGATTCTTCCAGAAATTATATCAGGTCTGTGGTCTTAAACCACCCCCAGTTGGTTTTATTGTGTATTCACATGGGTTAAACATGTTCACTGAATAGCTGGCGCCTGTTCGCAAAGAGGAGATGGCATTCCAAGAGAACAGCTCCTGGCCTTGCAGGGAGAGCAACCTCTGGTGTCATGAAAGATGGCTAGCTGGGAAATCCCCGAACTAAATGGAGGTTTATAGCTGAGAAAATGACATGTTCTATACTTATATAAATATCTATAAATGGGTGGCCTTCCAACAAGCCATGTTTGATTACCGGATGGTATTCGGGAAAAAGGAAGCATTTGTCGATGCATGTCGATGCAACACTGTTCTGAACCTCAACATTTCTCCCAAAATTCAAGAAACCAGCCATTTCCATAACCAATGTCCATCCATTTGGTTCCATCCAATCCATTTCCATCCAATCCATTTCCATTCATTTCCATACATTTCCATCCCCTACCTCCAAGACACTCCACTTCTAGCGATTGAAATTGCCACAACTCCGCCGAGGAGACGCCCCCCAGGTTTCGGCCGCCATGCAGCCATAGGATCGGGGTGGCCTTGGGATGTGGGGTAACTCTCCAGCGATGGGAACATCGATAGGAAACCCGAGCTTTCTAGCAGCCGAAAATAATGGGCCTTTGTCATGTCCTAAATTTCTTGAAATGCGTATTTTGATGTCTTTTGCTGTTTTCAGCATCAAATTCGGCCTTCCTAATCGAAAATTCTGGGATCAAGGTGAGCTGAGAAGACTTGACTGCAGGAGAGTTGTTTTGATATGAAAGGGCTTCCTGGCCCAGATTCAATATGAAAAAATGCTCTTAAACTTCACGCAGACAGAATGCACAGATTCTGACAAATATTGGAAAGATGCAGCGGAAGACAGTACAAAAAGCAAACAGTACAAAAAGGATACAAAAAGGAAATGATAGATCATCTCGGCAAGTAGAGATGGACATGTCCACAAATATATGTAGTGGGTTTGGAATCCCTATGGCCGAACCCAGGATCACCACAATCCGGAACTTGGATGAACTTGGGACTTTGTCAATCCCGCAAGCATTTTCCAGGTGTAAAATCGCTGACAGTGTCCATTCTGAATCATTCTGACCATTCTCGCCCGGTCAAGTGGCATTTGTTGCAACGAATGCCCCCACATGCTCCCACATCTGTGTAGGGCTTCGTCCCTGCAGGCTCCAGTGATTGTTCGCCACGTTGAATTTCCAGAGCTCACCGCTCGACCAGCCGCCGTGGACCCAAACTTCTCCATGGCTGCCTCGGATATGGAATGAGATCACACAGGGACCTGCTTAAAAATCATTTAAGATCTATCTGCAATGGCTTTATGTAAGTCTTGTCTGAATCATCCTACTGACTTTTGAGTACTTGTGGATACTTGTGCCTGGTTCTTGAAGAGTATTTCTTTGAGGCTGGCTGCCTTGTTGCACACCCCGTACTGGGGATGGGCAAGTGCTGCACATACTAGGCCCTAACTAGGCAGCGTCCGTGGGGTGTACGAAATTATCCATGGGTCTCAACTCTAAACCTATATCGTCACCTCTGCACCATTCCTCAGGTCTGTCAAAGAAGGTTGTTCCTTCTCTATAATGTCAAGCTTGAATCATCTTGACATCTCCAATCAATAGCCACCCTTTTTTTGACTGCGTGGTTTACCTCAACAGTGACAGCCATGACGACAGCAATGGCTTCTCACCCTCTTGGTCCAACCCGGCCAAGGTACCGTCCCATGCCGCCACATGTCCCCAACAGCGGGAGGGACCACTGCCGCTGGCCACTTGGGACCATTGGAGTCTTGGAACATCAAAGGTCCAGAGATCGTTGAAACCTTCCTCCGAAATGACTCCGCCACCATGAATCCACAACCGCCTGAAACCACAGGCGATGGGGCAAACTGGGATGGAGATGGATGGAGGCTGCCTGGATTCTTCAGGATGTTGTGAAATATGGCTGGATGCCATGGCAAACGTCTGTCTCCTACATCTCCTAAGACAGCCGGGACGGCAGGCTGGCTTGAGCCCCCATGATGAATATTGATGAATAACCTTTGCTGTGCAGCTGATTTTTGTTCATGTGCTGCTTGGCCACTACGCTGCTGCCGGGCTCTTGTTGAAAGAACAAAGGCTACTTGTCGTGACAAAATGAACAAATCCAGTGCTAAATCGTGTCAATATTGGATGCGACTAATCGCCATATGGATCCATGCCCAATTTTACAATTTAGGGATTACTTTGATTACTTTATCATGCCGCATGCCCAAACATTCTGAATATTGGGGTGCTCCATTAATTATTCCCCTTCCCCAAGGCCACAAGGTGGCAAAAGCCATCTACAGACTGCCATGGCTAGGACAATCCATGGGGTCTACCAGGCTACCGCATCCATCTAACAGTTCCTTGGAATGACACTATCCCCTGGTTGGTGGTTTCAACCCATCACTGGATGAGGAGACACTACAACTGCCCAAAAAAACTCGGATCTTCGTGTGCGGAGCTTCACATCCCGCAGATACACGAGCTGTGCTGGCAGAAAGCCAGGCCCGTCCGCTGGAAATGCGTAAATGATGGTTTCAGCATGTTTCAGCCCTGAATAATGTGAACCTCATCGGGAATCATACCCATTCCCAAACAGGATGGACATATGGTATTTATTTCGGAAAAAAAATAAAGCTGCGAATAGAAGTGTGCAGCCCTTAAGGTCTATTCACATGAGGCAGCCTTGACTAGTGGCTGTGCTCGCTTGTGTGGCAGAATCGCCATTTGTGATGACTATATCCCCATGTTTGGTCAGTAAACTCCGAACTCCCCTACGATCAACCAGTTTACAGCAACCCCCCAAATAGATAGACAAGTTGGAAACCAGGAAATAGGATGAAATAGGTAAATATCATCTATATAATAATCATCAAATATCATCTATAATTTACCTGGAAACACGGTTCGATTTGTTTTTGGGCACCCGCCTCTTTGTTGGATCAAAAACAGCCACGTGGTCGTGGCGGGCCGAGGGCCCACTGTTCCCCGTGTCAAGGAGGCTCCAGCGCTGAGCGTCGACGTCAAAGGTCCAAAGGTCGCGAAAGACGCGAAAGCCGTCCCAACCTGGAGCGTATGGTGCCGAAATGGGTTGGTTATAACCATGATATACCATGACATAAGCCAATATAACAGTTAATCATATGATATGTGGGACTGAAGTAATGGGAAGATGACCAGAAAAATGAGAACGGAACTTGGGTGTAGCCAACAAATGGACATGTGTACGGAGATGGTATTACATAGTATCACCAGCAAAACCGGTACTTACTCTGATAAATGAGGATAGGACCAGCGAAGATGATGATTTTAACCAGCCAATATGGGGAGCCTACCAATATGTTTGATAGAACTGGTGGGTGATTTCAGCTACCAACTGACTACACAAAAAGTGGTCCACAATATGGCTTTCCCTGTGCAGAAATGGAAACCTGATGATGGCTTTGGAGACATTATAAGGCATCATTATATATATATATATATATGTGTGTGTTATAAATGTTATTGCGATTAGAGATAGTCACCGCATGTTACCTTCTATTTTTGGATATGTTTGGCACAGGATTAGCCTCAAAAAACTACAAGTCGGAAGATCTGCCTGTTTCATCCCGGCCCATTCAGCGCCGCGTCACCGCCGTGAATCAACAGGCTTCGACCGGTGTCATCGAAGGCCGCAACGTGATCATGACCTGAGGGATGTGCGACAGCTGGTCAGGTCCATCATGGGCGGTTGTACCAAGGTAGTCTTCCAAGCCACTATTTCTATGTTAGTTGGAGGGATGCTAGCGCATCAATTTACATAATCATTCAGCAACAAATACCAAACTTGGGGAGTTCAGCAGCAAGAATAGCGGAGTGAAACAAAAAACATCAAAAAACTACGGGGGAGTTGACAAAGAAGAATGGCGGGAAGGAAACAACAGGACATGGGGATTCAAAATGGAATCACTTCTTAGCAACAGTGTGAGGAGTGGAAAGCTCGCAATACCATTGTCCGCTGAAAAGACCATGCAACTCTTTGGCTGCATCTGGTTTTTTTCATGTTTTTTCATGTCGGTCTGCCAAAGGATTAAACGTCAGACACCCCATGCGCGTTGTGTTTTGCATGAACTTTCCATATGCAACCTGGAGGGCTGCTCCAGTTGAGCCATGCCCTATATGGCTCAAACAAAAAAGTTGCCAAAATCTGCTGCCCCCATGGCTCTTAACGGTCTTAAGTTGGCTCATACCCGAAGCCTTGACCACCTGCCACCTGCCGGCGGGTCACGTGCCGTAGGACTGACATCCAAACTGAGGTGCAACCAGCGCTCGGTGGCGGCATGGAACATCCAGAGGTCCTGGAGGTTACTTCTGGAATTCCATCCTGAAGCAAGGCCGAACCCCGTAACTCTGAGGTCAATGGATTGGTTTGAGGGAAAATCTGTTTTAACAAGACTTCAGGCGGAGTTTCCTGCAAACTAATTTGCGCCTTCAGGTGTCCCCACCAACGCTAATGAAGAACCGCTGAATGGCCTGACAAGTTCACATCCAATGAATATTTCTACAGAGCCCTTTGAAATCCTTTGAACCTAAGAAAAATGCGGTACTTGGGCAATGGCAATGGAAAATCTCCTGCAGATGGTGGTTTGAATGGGAAAATCAATGAAAATCATCTATAAATATAAATGTAAAATAATATAAGTATATAAATATAATATATATATATATGTAAACTATTATTTATATATATATATAAATAGAGAGGGGGAAGAGGAAAAAAAAATATATTAAATATTACAGGATAAATTAGGATTAATTGGTTAATTTTCCAGCAAGCCACGTGTGGTTATTATCGGATAGTACATACCTTTGGCCCACTCTCCGGCCCTCCGGCAGTGCCACATCGTGCGCACGCACGAAACCGAGATTCCACCGTGCACCCAGAGTTGTCGTGTCTTCGGGTCCCAGGCCTGGGGTATCCACTGTTGCACTATTTTCTCCATGGGGAAATCTTAGTTGGCTTCCCTCTGATGAATTTGGGGAGCCCACCATTGTCGACTGGATCTGGCCCTCTCTCTCTCTCTCGCATTCTGTTGGGATTATCCCTATCTATTCAATCCGCCATCTAAACCAGTGGTGTTGGCCCTGTGCCGCAACAAATTATATTTAATATTATAATATTAATAATATATAATATATATATATATAATTATACTATAATACACAATCGAAGCCCCCATTTGGACCCATTTGGGCTGATGATTTCCATGATTTCCCAGCCAGTGAGGTGAGAGTACCGCCAAAAACCCCCCAAACACCCTGAGCTGTTCAGCAGGGATGCGCAAACGTGTGCCCAGCGTTCACTTGGTCCTGCGCTACCTGAGGGCCACGGGGCCATTTTTCGGGCCTGCTCCGGGATCTATCGAACACTCCCAATATTGAAATATCTTACCATATAAAGCATAAATATGGCATAATATGGCAATATGAATCACCTATTACAGCGTGTTAAATCATTAATGATGATAACTGAATATAACTGATGTTTTCATGTGTGTGGAGCGAGTTGGAGTCTACTCAAACTGTTTGACGTACATATGATACATATGCATCGCCTGATCGGGACAGTAGTGAATGCTGAGTTTTGCATATGGGTCAAAATTATCACTACTGATGGGTAATTACAAGTGACCCATTAGCACAGCATCTTACAATAGTATTGGCACCCTGATGGGTCATCAAAATTATTCAAAATTCTTGGGACAAGGAACCGCTGCTGACCAAGTTCCATGCTCGACTTCGCACGTCAAACTTCCAGAGGTCTCTGAAAGCTCTCTGACCATCCCATCCTCCGTGTAGCCAAAGAAGTCTATGACCCATTTCCGGGCCCGCATCCCAGGCTGCGACATGTTCGTAGCGGGCCACTGGGCCAGAAGCATTCTTCTCGACAGTCCAGTGGCCCGACATGGGGCGAACGGTTGAACCTTTGAAGGATAGAGTCTTTGTCAGTTACTGCATACGTGTTCCAAAAGGAAACAAGGCTCTTCAATTGCATGTGGCGCCAAAAGGATCAAAAGGGCAGTGAGGGTAACTTTAAGGCATTTTAAGGCTCCACTGTTCCTGCAGGGTTTCGTGACCGTGAGTAAGCATTTTCAGAAGGCATCATACAACATCATACCTTTTCCATCCTGGGGGAACCACACCCAGAGTTTCACATCTTCAACGCTAAGAGCAAGCGGCGGCAAAAAGCTACGCACTTGGGCGGATATGCTATGTCCAGTCAGGTGGGCAAGCATGCAGGAAATCGTCACTCCTACAGGTTTCCTATGGTTTCCTAGTAATTACCCTTGTTTCTAAAAACCTTCCCTGATTCTATCACCATGCTCTGGAGTCTCCTGACCCAAACCCAAATGCTCCACTCTGTGGCACCTCCTCGCATTGATACGCGGAGCTTGAGGCGTCTGAGGTCTCGGAACCCATTTCAGATGCCGTTTCCGTTGGAACTATCATACCATATCATGACAGATCCTCACTGATTAGCGTCAAAACTTGTCATTTGACCCGGACTTTGGACTTCCGGCTTGCAATGCCTCAAAGAACTGATTCAACATTGGCTCTGTGGCTTTGTGAAACTCACCGACTATGGGCCTTTCTGGCCCTCAATCAGACCACGCTTGAGCCCCAGCAGAGCCGACGTAGCGGAGAAACTGATCGATGTCTGAAACTACCGCAGGGAGCACATCAGTCCATGGGATGACTCAGGAAGAAATTATCCGCAAAAGTTGTACCAAATACATCCAAATATTAGTGGATGATGGGAATATTTACATGAACCCCCTATAATTAGCGGGGAAAGCACGGTTGTCCTGTGGATTTTCCCTTAATCCATTGAGATAAGTGTTCCATTCTTCTTAGTTGTCCCCCTTTTGATATGTAGTTTCACTATGTCGTTATGACCATAGATGCCGTGTTTGCCCCTTGCGTCCCATTGTGACGACCAGCTGGCAACTGAGTCTGAGTGTGGCTCAACATGGCTCCGACCCTCTCCGCAATCAAGTGATGATCGGGGTTGCCTGCCCAAAATGGCTGGAGCAAGAGAGCAATCACCACAGGGAGTCCCCTGGATAGCTAAGGTCAACCATGTTTTATGGATCTTTATGGTAGATAAATATCTATCCCCCTCCCTTTAGAGAGATATACTGTGTGTACAATTGTATATATATATACACACACTTAGTGGGGTTTATAGTTTATAAATGTTGATAAACTAACTAGCACTAGCTCATAACTGAGGGACACCACCTTGCAACTCAGGTAAATTGTCATTTATGGTCATTTCTTGCGTCAATCTTCCAAAATGAACCCCACTCCAATCCAGGCAAATGGATATCCGGAAATCACCATGGATGGTTTCCTTTGAATTTTGGGTGATTTGCTTTCGAAAAAAGACCCTGTAACAGTAGGATCAGTTCCAGAACGATATGACTGCATATATAATTAATAATCTTTGGATCCCGGCCTGCAAAACATGGCAAAATTGATCCCTCACATGGCGCCCAAATCCCACCCAATCAGATCCCCCCATGATATCCGTAGCACCGGTCCTCGGAAATCGAAGGCCTCCAGCCGCGATAGGACTTCACCAGCCTGGTAACTGGAAAAATGGATGGTTAATACTACTGCAACACTAAGAAAATCTATGGTCCCCCGGGTCTTTAATTTTGACCCGTACCCATGTATTTCCCTAGGGTAAACTAGCATAGATGTGGAAAACCAATGTTTTTTTAGTAGGAAAATGATCTGCAAATGATTGGGTTCTATGTTAGCTTACCAGGGGTTAAAACCTATGACACCATCTGCGGGGTGATATCTTGCAATTTATCAGCTATTTCATGATGTTCACCAGGGTACGAGGGTTTTGACCAAGAGTCATGTAATTCAACTAACCACGGATGATATATATATATATATATGTATGTATGTGTGTATATATATATATATGTATGTGTATATATATGTATATATATATATGTATATACATATATGTATGTATATATGTATATATATTATATATATACGAATTATCCAGAGAGGATTTCTTAAATATTCAGCTCGTTTGCCTGACGCTGAAGCAGTTTGTTGCTTTCCACCTTCAGATTCATATTTCATTTAATTCAACATCATTCAACATCATTCAACATCATTCAACATCATTCAACAACAACAACAACAACAACAACAACCACAACCACAACCACAACCACAACCACAACAACAACATTCTTGGGGTGTATCCAAAAAGCTTCCCATCCCAGCCCTTAAAATCATCAAATCCTTCCAGCCCGGCCAGAAAGCTGGCTGCTGTGCTGCTGCAGCCACCAGGTCGTCCTGAAGGGCTTGCATTTGAATCTAAGCCATTGTAAACAATCTGCTCATGATTTTTCATGTCTTTTCCTGGTAATATTTCTCCGTGAATGCTTGGGATACGATCCGCATCAACTGCTTGAAATAATTCGGACATACAAGTTGCCAACCAAACATCAGAAATCACGTGTAGATGGGCCGGAACTTGTTGGATGTGTCGAGCTAGGCCATGTGCAATCAGACCGGATGCGCCACATTACAACATGAAAATCGGGACGTTCCGTGTTATAACTTGGCAAGGGAAGTCCCTATATTCCAGAGGTATCCCAAAGCTTTACATAATCAAGAAACCAGCAAAGCTTCCAAAACAGCATGTTTGTTCACCAGCGGCTGCACGTTGGACATTGACAGAGAGAAAAAACGAAACGAAACAGTAATGTTGGCAAGAACGATCCCACACAAAATGCAGCAAACATAAACAAACCATAGGGAACACAAGGGTTTGTCGCTTGGAAAATGATTCAACTCCCACAGTTTGTCAACTCCGGGCCCGGTCGACCCGGATGCACCGGCCTAGCGGTCGAAGAAGCAAAGGCACAATGCCATCGCCGTCGCGGAACTCGTAGCTGCCATCGCCTAACAAGGCCAAGGTATACGGTAGACCCAGCGTCAATCTGAGGATCAAAAAATGTATCCATCATGACATTTATATATGATAGATTATGATAGACTGCAAGTACATGGATTTTATGGCCTCTGCATCTCTACATGGTAGGATATGTTAGAATAATATAGAACGTCACCATGTGTATATATATATACAATTATAATCAATTATATACATAATATATATATATATGTATCTGTAATATATGGGCTATATTATGTTGCAGCACCATAGTATCTTTGGCCATGACCCATGGGCCTTCGTAAACCCGCAAGTTTTGAACCAAGAAAGGCACCCTCTGTGAATCTGATCTAGCAATGAACATTTCCCATTTATATTATTATAGATGAATATATTTGGGACCATTTAGGGGGTATTTGATATTACTTGGCTTTTCTTAGCAGTGGGGGCCATGGGACAACACAACTTCCCAGTGAGAAACTTCTGAGTTACTCTTGTGAAACTTCTAAATGAGAATCTTCTGAGATACGTTCTTCTTATCACCTTTGAAAGGTGGCCTCTCGTTTCTTCGTCGTCTTCTTCTCCTTCTTCTATTTTGTCTTGTTGTATGTGTATATATATGTGTGTGTGTGATATCTCTATATATATATCTATATATCTATTATATATATATAATTATAATTATATATATACCTGTGAACTACCCTCTGGTCTCTGGTAATCGAACATGGCAATGAACAATTCGCCATGTATAGATGATTCAACTGTAAAGATTGCCCTGTCAGATTCCCAAAGGATATCCACATCCACCCGATGGTTGGGCTCCCCGCTCTTCCTCACATGGAGTCCACTAACATAGCTGAAATCCTCTGCTGTACCACCAGCAACATCCAAACGACCCACCTCAGGGCACAGCTTGTCCCAAGCCTCCTGAAATCTATGCAACATTCCTCATGGGTCATGGGTCATGGGTCATGGTTGGTCATCATATGTCATCATCCAGGTATGGAAGAACATTGCCAAGATTTGAGATCACCCTAAATATCTCCAAATAATGCAACATACTTTAACATAGCTATTGAAAATGGACAGTTAGGCAATTTCGTTCGTTGATTTACCTACGAAAAAAACGTGATTTTACATGGTGGTGATGTTCCATAGCTTCATTCCACACTGGTCACCTTGATCCATTGCTGGACCCAACTTCCAAATCGCTCTTGAGGGCTGCACAAAGACCGGCGGGGATTCGCCCACTCTGGGCTGATCCTTGGCGGGCACCCGCTAACCTGGAAATGGGATTGATATTTTCATTGTTTATTCATAATATTCCCAATGATCCCCATGTTCACTAAGGTCAATGGAAGCACATTGCAAATGATCTTTCTGAACCATGGTTGATAATGAGCCAAGGTTGTAATCAATGGATGGTGGGGAGAACAGGGTTCCCGGGGAAGGTCATGTTCCTGATTGTTCATGTTTGTTGCAGACAACCCAAAATGGACACAGACCCACTATAAAGATCTATAGGGGATTATATGATATCATTGATATCATGTATAATATACACTGCACATACCGAAAACATATCATATCATCACATGTTGCTACCTTTGGCACCCCACATGGTCCATTCTGGGTGCACATGATTGGCCTTGGGATAGCGGCTATGCTTGGTTGAGCCAGGGCACAATTCCAGTAATTAGTTCAATGTATTTTCAGTTCTACAGTTGTTGTAGCTTTATCGTTCTATATCCATCTATATCCCCAATACTATTGGCTCAATCGTGCAGGGTCAATTGGCTGCCCTGAGTCACCTCTGGGTTCCCCCGTCACCGATGGGCGTCAGGAAGCGAAGGATCACCTTTGAGGTCTGGTGAGGAATTCTCGATCCAAGCTCAAATGGATTGGTTGAAGGAAAAAAAACATGAACCATTACAGAAGACCCGACACCCCAACCACTTTGACGGTAACCTTGGAGAGGATAGTGTTCGTATGTCCCCTCAATCTCAACCGATGTTCATGGTGCCCGCATGTTCCCACGGGCATTTGTCTTGCAAAGCTACCACCATCGCAAAATGTCACAAAATTGACCATATTTGGAGCCCGTTTCAAACGCGGAAACTAGTGCCATGATCTGGCAGAAGTCTTTCAATGACTTTGAATGCACATTTGCCGGAAGCTTTAGCAAGGCAATTGGGGAGTGAGACCATTGCTTTGATCGGCCATCAAGGGGATCCGAAAGTGTTGGTAAACTTTGGTAAATCACTTGAAGGATTGACATGTGGATTGCATTTCATAGATTTTCATAGGGGGTACTGGGCGTACTGAGGTCTAGCTCCCCAAAAAAAAAATGGATGTGCCTCACCATGCCTCACCTTCCAGCCCAGGTCAGCAGCTAAGACATACTAAGACAGCTAGCTGCTTGGTCGTTTTAATCGCTTTAACCGCCTTGAAACATAGGAATGTCCATTGGAATCATCCGCTAAGATCTCAGCTTCCGGCGGCCAACGAAAAAATCATAAAATCCGAGGGTGTCTGCAAGGCGGCTGAGGGGCTCACAGGATCTTCATCAGTTGGGAGTTCTGGAAGAATCTGCCCCAAAAAGAACGCGTGATTTTGTTCAAAAAACGAATAAGATCGAATAAGTGAATAAGTCTGTGTGAAACCACAAGCAAAAAAGGTGGAACTTAAACAACATCTGGACCAGGCACGGACTTCGGATCAAATCAGCAACTATGTTGGACCTCTTCAGAGGCCAAGGTCGAACGGATGCTGGGTAGAAGACGGATGCTCATCCTCAACATGGCCAACATGACCGGGATTCCTATCTTTAGTGGCTTATATGCATTATATATACACACATATATATATATATTAGCTATATATATATATATATGTGTATGTGTGTGTATATGTAAATGTAATGTATACTATCGACTATAAAATGTTTTATCTGTGTGTATCCATGTGTCTGCTGTATAACTCTCCATAAGGTTTTTTGTATTACAGAAAGTCAAGAGATGGTTTGAAACACACAGAAATGTAGTTTTAGACGGCTTCCGTGTATATATTCTGTATCGGTTGATTTCGACAGATTCCATTTCTATATCTATTCTTAGTATTGACTTAAGACAGACAAATAGCAATATATACTGGCACAGATCCAAGGAAGAAACGTCATCAATTCAATCTCTCCTCCCACCAGGCGCAAAAAAAAGGGTCCCTTTTCGAAACCTCCACCATTCGTTCCTTTACCTTGGTGCCTGGGTCTTGACTTTTGGAGGACTTCTGCATGGGGGCACTATGGGATGTCATCCCATCTTAAGGATCTCCTAAGGCCCTTGACAGTGCAAGTCCCTAGACAGGAATCCACATAAATCCTGACAGACATATTCGATAGATATCTATATATATATAATTATATAATATTATAATTATATATAATTCTATATATATATATATATACGTGAATTATACATGTATGTATGTGAAATAGCTATGGATGTGATCACCCCCAAGAAAAATCAATAAGCATCAATAAACAAGAATAAACAAACGTGAACCGTGGATTTCCGCGCGTGGACCATTTGCATTGGACTCAGCCGCCGGGCTTTTGTGAGGCATTCTGGCATACAAAGAAGCACCTGGCAGCCATCATTGGTCTATCCAATTCGCGCGAGCATTTGAGCGGGGTCTATGGGATTCAAGGTGGGCCCTGGCCACCCACCAAGGACACTTCACTGGGCATGTTGCTGCCTCACTTGCGTGCGCATGCCATCCAAATCAAGACACTTCATGAAACATTCAGAGTATAAAGCATATAAAAGCATATATAATATACTATAAGACTGTCAGCTGCGTCTTGAAAAACACAATTGCACTCCTGAACCTAATTACAGTAGTTAACCTGGAACATGTTTTAGCCGTGTTATTCCCTGTTGCTCGCCATTTTTTTCGTGAGGAACATCATCGTCCCCGCGAGGCCGGGCCCAGAAAGCCAAGGCGCTCCAGACCGAAGTGAGGATGCTGAATGCGCGCCATCCACCTAGCGATGGCCCCTAGCTGCCCTAGCTGCCCTAGCTATGTAGCTTTGAAACGAAGGACGGGCTCCTCTTTGATGATCTCGTTGGTGGTTTTTTCATCATTTTTCCAGTGCCCCAAAACCAGATACAACGGGGGGCGTAATCATCCCGGAGAGGGATTGAAACAAAATCAAAGAATGACAAATGTTCAAAATCACCGACGAGCAGTTTTTGCCCTGATGTTTTTCACTCGGGCTGCCTGTCACTGTTTGGCACCGGCACCAATCCCAAATTGATCCTAATTGCATATGTTGATGGTGGAATAGCCCCAACAAACAAGGAAAATGAACCCCTTGGTCTGACAGCTGCACCCAAACTGCATCAAAATGTGGCAATCCTAATGGTACACTACACTAAATCATACCATTCAAGGGGTGACATTGGGGCGACTAGAAACCCTTCCGCCACACCCAGAGTTGATTGAAATGAGGTCCCGCACTCCGAGAACACTGGCCTGAGCTATGTCATGGCCAGGGCTGTTCCCTAAAATAGAAATAGTCCAGAAATTTGGATGTAAAAACATGTAAACACATTATCTAAAAACCATCCCAACGGCAACTTGCAGCATTACAAGTTTCAGCCCCACACGTCACGGCGATGCGTGGCAGCTTCAGCTCGCTGCAGCAATGGGAGATGTCGCGCCTCAGTGGAAGGAATAAGACCATGGTCTGTAGCGATCTGGTTTGTAGGGTATAGATGTATGTGTATATATATATACTGTTTTTATGTGTATATATGGTCCCGTCCTCCGTCTCTCCACCCCCCCCCCTCCCCCCCCCATGGGTTGGGTCCCCAGGTAGCAGCCCCCCTTCCCTTCTATTTGCAAGCTATTGGCAGCATTTCTGAGGTCCAGCTTCGTATTTGCTAGGTCTTTGCAGTATTTCTGACTACCAGCCTCGCATTTACTAGCTACATGCTACCTTTTAGGCGACCTACGTAGCACATATACTCCTTGAAAGTACCTACGTGCTACCTATAGTCATATATACATGTGCTATGTATCTACTGTATCTACTTCCTATTTACTACCTGTGTACTCTCACAACACCACCTGTGTTTAACATATACCGTACCGAACAATCAATCAATGATGCCATGCATACCATACCTATCATACCTATCATGCCTATCATACCTATCATATCTATCATACACACCATACATACCATACATATGAAATGTAATTACCACACCTACGATACATACAATAGCAAACATACATGCCATACATACCATACATACCTTACATAGGAAATATGCCATACCATCATAGTAATCATACATACCATACAGACCATACATACTGTCATATCCAACATACCATACCCAACAGACTTACATACCATACCTACCATCCATACAATACCAACCACTCATGCCATACATACCATACCTACCAAACATACCATACTTTCCAAACATGCCATACCAGACCGACCATACACACCATACATACCCAACATACCATACCACACCCCCACCACACCACAGGGGGGGGAGGGGGACAGCGCCACACCGCCACCACACCACAGGGGGGGAGGGGGAAGATCTCATATGGGGCCAGTATATGGGACCCATCCCATGGGGGGTGGGGGGAGGGGGGGGGTGGCAGGGCCTGGTGCATATATATATAATGTGGTTATATACGCCAAATGTGGCAATATCCGGTAAATTATGGTTGATGATGCCGATTACTGATATTGACATGATGAACCCAATGCCATAAACCATCCCCAACATGACCAGAATTGGAGGTTTATTGCTGGGTTTGCTGCATGGTTGAAGGTCATTACAGGTCTTTACCAGAAGGTCTTAAACCCTTGAACTTGGGGATCGATGGTTGCAATATGTTGTAATCACACCCCGTAGTGACTCTGGTAGGCTCAGCGGGCTTGAGCAAACTGTAGCATCAAACACAGGAGACCTATGAATCTGCTCAATTCAATCAAGCGTATGCCATGAGCAACTGCAGAACACATTGGTCTTGTAAAAGGATTTTTTTAGTCTGTTTATACTGTGTATACTGTATATCTATAAATATATATATATATACACGTATATACACATAATATGTGTGTGTGTATGTGTATGCACTTGTGATTACATATGTGTACGTGTGTAGATGTTTGTATGTGCATCATGTATTTCATATTAGTGAGTGTACAAATCAACTGGAACCCAATTTTTTCCTTGTTGATTGGCCAACTTCCCCGCTGACAAATCAGCACAGCTGCTCAAATAGTTGCTCCAAATATGGCAACACCTGAGCCGAAGCTATGGGCCATGGGCTGTTGACATCCTTAAAGAGGTGGGGTGTTCGGCTTCAACGGACAAGCTTGGCACTTGTTGAAAATCTCCACGTTTGTCCATCTTGATGAGGTAAAAGGATCTATTATCATCTATGATTGATCTACAACTGGGGAAATTTTCTAGATCTGCTGAACATCAGTTGAACTTGAGCATCCTTGAAATGTATAAAGACCTCAGCGATCGTTTTGCATATACTCGTAGTAGTAGCACTGTGCATTGAAGAATGTATAAAAATGTGTAATGTGGTAAGCCCGATAATAAACCATCCCATTAACCAACGATGTGTGGTAATTTTACATTCAATTTTTCCAAATAGGTATATACCCAATAATAAACCTCTATTGGGGATGGTATATTAACATATTATAGAATTAGTAATATATTGGGTTTACATGGGTTTACCATCTGGTTACCACATTTTTCAGTACATTGGGTTCACACGTGCCCCGCGGCCAACCCTTTTAGGCACATGTGGATGTCCGATGCAGTCGTCGGTCTTAAAGAGCCCCTCTAAAGCCATTGCCTCGCAGGCTGAGTTTTGTGGGCAAAGGACTGCACCCTCCTAGGCCTGGTGTACCCTCTGGTAAACTAACATAACTATGGAAAGATCCACCATTTTTAATGGGAAAATCCGCTATAAATCACCATTTTCAATAGCTATGTAACAAATTACCAGAGGGTAGGATCTTGATCTTGTTGGGGTTCAAGAGTTTGCGAATTGTTTGGATCATCAATTCGCAAGAGTCCTTCCAAAAAATGCATGATGCCATGATGGCCAAGTTGTCATATCTCAAATCCTATGCTCATGAGCCCTAATTAAGTCAGCACGTGGGTGATGTTCTTAAGTCAGGTTTTCCGGAGGGTAAAATTCTCAATTCTCATCCATGTATGGCACACTTCCTTTTATATATGCAATATGCCATCAATATAAATTATATTTACAGCCAAAAACGCCTAAATGCTGGCAAAAAGGCGTGAACATGCCATACTATCCATACATGGAGGGTATATATATATAGTATAGTATAATTATGGATTAATCTTAATATCGTAATATATAGATTATATAGTATATAAATCAATGAGTTGTCGCATAATAGTGAGATGCCTGTGGTATTCCCCCACAGTGTTTGGTTCCAGACGTAGACCATGGCAGTGTGGATGCCGTTGGCGATGCGAAGCTTCAAAGCCTTGGTAAGCAACTCTTAGTGCATGATAGTTGAAGCGTAATTGATGTTGGGAACCGACTACTAGTTGAAATACAATGATTTTGGCTTCAACTATTTAGTGGCTCCCCCTTTAATTAATAGGGAATATTAAATAATGAATATTATAATATTATGTATATATATATGGGAATATAGATGGCCCCTAGCTTCTTAGCTCCCTCACCACTGGATAGTCAAGGGGGATCATCCTCTGCTTGGTGATCTCCCCCCTCAATCCTTCTCCCGAATACCTTCTGGTATTCAAACATGGCAATGGGATATCTCCCATTTATAGATGATTCTCCAAGTTCAATGCCCATTTGTCATGGAGATGTCCCATTCCATGTTTGATTACCGGGACTACCAGATGGCAAAGTAAACGCAACCACCCATGATGCCCTCCAGATCTGCCAGCAGGGCTGCCCCCACGATATCCTGTGCCAGTTGTCCAGGCTGACTTCGCCTCAGTGATGGCCCAGCCCGGAGTGGAGGTCTGCAGGTGCCTCTAGGCCCACATCCCTAGGCAACCCTGCACCACCACACCGGGCACGCTGTTGAACTGTGGCAAGGCATTCTGCAGGTCCTGTGCTAGGGTGAATTGTCCATGATCGGAGGTTCCAGGTATTCCGGTTCCGATTTTCACCATCATCCACATTTGGGGAATCTAGCTGCATCTAGCTATGTTCCAAGGGATTTGCATCGGAGTCGCAACGAGCTCAAAAGGGGAGCATGACCCCATGGCCACCGCCCGTCCTCGATGACCAAGGCTTTGGAAGGAAGAGGCCTCCAGGGCCGGATGATCATGGATGGAATCTGGGCATCCTTCGTGATGAATCCATGTTATCAGATGTTATATTATAACTGTTATATAATCATATTATATCATATTCAAACTTTTGCAGTTCGCAAATCAGAACGGCTGGTTAGCTGCTTAGCTGGTTCTTTCTTGATCAATCTATGGTGACATTGTCATGAGGTGACTACAAGCATATTATAGCAATCAAAAGAAAGGGACAAAAATAATCTCACAAAACTAAAGTGGAAAAGTACTGTTCGAGTTTTTTGATACTCATTGGGGGTTGGTATCATCACGAAGAATCTAATCTTTCCCCCAAGTAGGGGACTTACAATGATTTATATACATAATGTATTTGGGACCATTTAGGGTGTGTTTATGTGTGGGATGGGAAATTATAATATGAGTTGCCCTCCGGAAATTCCCATTTATAGATGATTTTCCCAGCTGCAAACCTCCGTTGATTCCCAGTAACTTCCAATTGCCACGGTTGATTTTGAGGGGGTGCGCTGGTTAGCATCACTAAAAATGCCCTCCCTTGATGACTGAAATCAGGCCGCCAGACTCCGCGCGCGGAACATCAGGGCCTGAGGCGGCAAGTCCTTTGGAACATGATGATCAACCATTGGGTTTGGGGAAAGCCAATTTTCAAACAAAGCCATTTATTTGTCCGCCGACGGGTTTCAGTCATGATCCTCATGTTAATCTCTCTCCTTCGCCATCTCTGGGAGTTCAATCATTGTGAGAATATGCAAGAATGTAGGCGCATGTGTTCTGCGCGTTCGGGAGCTGTCTCATTGTTGTGTGTGTGTTTTATAAATGGCTACGACTGGGGACGTTAATAGCACACAAATGCAAATCACTTGCAGGTTGCATGAATGCTAAATCAGGCACTGGTGTATCACATCTCTCTCTCTCTCTCTCTCCCTCCCTCCATCGCCATCCCGAAGGTTCAGATCACATGCAACATGATGAATTAAGGCGCACACACACACACGCACACATCTATGTACATCTATAAACATCTAAATACTGTGTATGCACAGGTTATATGATGTTAGATGCATACATGGCCTTCCCACTAGTATAAGCATGTATAAACAGTCCCTGGAATTTTGGGATGAAAAGGGCCGAGCCGCAGCCCTCTCTTTGTGAAGTGATCCGATCCACCATGGTGTTGTGAAAGCACACCTTGGCACACGGTGTCCTCAATGGTTTGGAGTGAATTGACAAATTGACCCTGAAATTCCACCTGGACATGGGCCTATTTCTGGGTGAAATTCATGAAAGTCGCTAAATCTCGCTCATTTTCCTGTTTGAACTTTGGGGATATAAAGACATGTTTCATGATGTTCCATAGTTTTTCCCCATGTTTCCCCGCTACCGTGTTGTTTCGAGGCGAACTCGACTGCTGCACTGCCGTCCCCACATGTTTCTTGAGCCAGATCTCAAACTCCCACGACCTCAGGCCGCGGTTCTGAGGTCGGGTATTGCGCAATGGTAAACAAAATCTTGATAAATCATCGATTACCATATGGATATTATGGATAGATAGATAGATATATATATAATAATATATATATATATATTAGATGAAAAATATGATGGACATTTTGCAATATTAGATTGTCAATATTATATGAAAAACATTGAAAAACCATGATGGACATTATGGATAATTATGGCCAATGGAAGAGAATATATGGAAGTTTCCATAGTCCATAGTCATGGGGGTACCCCAATAGCTGGATGGTTGAAACAATTGAAAATCCATCTATAAATGGATGATTTGGGGGTACTTTATATTTTGGGAAACCACCATATATTATTTGGTGGTGGAAAAAAACAGAATGCTTAGACTGCAAATACATGTAAATACATGTAAATACAACGTATCGACATGAAATTCCAAATGCACGTGTCTGAAAATAGACTTCCCCCACTCCAGGGCTTTCTCATGCATTTCCCCATTTTAATAAGCATGAACCGCCATGACTGGGGAACCATTGTCACCCATCGCCTGCCAACCCATCTGTTGCCTCTCGGAGTTTTGGGTAAAGTCGCAACTGCAGACCTGGGCGAAGTCGGAAGGCGACAAAGGGATTGGTGTTGCAACACCATGGAAATGGAGTTTTGCTATTTAATCAAAAATCTGGGCCCAAAAGCAGAACTAGAGAAACAACCAGCCTGCAACCTTCACTGCCTTCACTATCTTCAATTTCACTCACTGGGTTATTATAAGCGAAAATTTACCGGACATCCATGAGTTTGAACGTTTTGAACTATACATACAGGATTTCCCTCCAATTTCTCGTTTCATCCCATCATGGGAGAGTCTGTGCATGTTAAACCCATAGCATCTTTTGCAGGAAATTCTTGACGTCAAACCCAGCAAAATCAATGAAAATCAGGTATAGACAGAAGTACACGGTAATATTGAGATATATTGTGTGCGTGTGTGCGTGTGTGCGTGTGTGCATAAAATACAAAATATCTACCATCTGGTTATTTAACATAGCCATGGGAAATCACAATTTTTAATAGGTAAACCATCTATAAATGGGCCATTTTCCATGGCTATGTTAAATAACCATAGGGTACTTGAACTGCACACTCCGAGCACCTGACATAGCTGCGAATGGCATCTCCGTTGAATGGCACATTGTCCGTGTTAAGGATGGAAAGGGTGCGGCCCCTGACCAGGAATGAGCTACATGATAGTCATAGTCATGATACGCAATCCACGAACTACTTGCAAAAAAAGGTACTGTTGCCCTTCAAATATCTTCAAATATGATCTAATATCAGCATATATCAGCACATATCAACACCAAGAGTGTTAATTACCGTACTTTTTTTCACCCAAGGTGGACCAAGCTTCTGCCAAAGTTGAACCATCAAAGAGCAACTAAAACCTACAAAGTATGATGACATGCCCAACATGAAAATGTCTGGTTCATCTTTCAATATTGAGATATAGATCATATACTGTGTCCTTGGCCGCCCTCGCCTTGTGGGACATTCAAAACATGCCTTAGTTTTTCAGGAAGGTGGCTTAATGTCTCTAAGCCTTCCTTTCAGCCGAGCCATTTTTCGATAATTTTGACCCCCAGAAGATCAAGCCAAGAAATATCTTCCAATCAGAATCATATCATATCACATCGTATCACATCACATCATAGCATAATATAGCATACATAATACGCGTGTATAAATCCCTATAAATCCCTCATGTGGTTGCGTCCCAGCCGCGTACAGAAACTCTGCCAAATCAAGGATCGAACCTTGGCACAATTCCGTCACGGCACCATGAGGCCAGTTGTGGATGTGGCACGATCTGGCGGCTTTTTTGGGAGCTCCCCAGGTTGACAAATGTCTTGCTGAGTCACCCATTTTCTTCAAAATCTCCAGTTGGGAAGTTGAGAATCCTAGTTTTTTGTGGTTGAATCCATCCATTTTTGCTATGCCATAGGAATCCATAGGAGGTCTCCAAGTTCCCCCACGGCCATTGTGCTCGATGCCCGCCTCCGCAAAATCCCACCGGTATGAATTTGACAGTGAAAAAATGTGAATTATATAAAATGCCCAGTTTATTGGTGAAGTTGAGATTCAAGTTGGGATGATTGATGAATTTGATACCCTTGAACCATTAATATGTGTGGAAATTTGGATGCTTCAAATGTTGAAAAGTATTGAAAAGTACTACTTTTCCGGGAATGTTGGTTTGTTTAACGAACAGCCTGGGTAAGGGTGCCCAAGTTGTGGAAACAGAAACCCAAACATCGAACTCGGAAACTTCGAGTTGAAAATTGCTCAACATGACGGCAGGCTGTTCGCCTTTTATGCGGTTCACAGAACCTTCGTTTATGGTGAGATGGGCCGGTGAGGCTTCCAATTTCCCCAACTGGAACGATCTCTGTCCGGGTTTCTCCCCCGAAAGCTGCCTCTGTTAGGCCAAGGCCAATGTACATCAAGTTTGGCCTCACGTTGTCAATCGAAATCTGACCAGGAGATTGTACTATAGAGTCACTGGATGTTGCTGGTCTACGGTTGTGCCACCCATCCCAAAAGTAATTATTCACATAGAAAACGTCTTCCGCAGGATGGAAGACCAAGGAAAGATGTGAAACCAGCCGCCATCAGCATCTTGCGGTAAAGATGGCAATGACAAAATGCCCACTTGCAAACTATTCACTTTTTTGAGACTGGAGTTTTCATGGATTTCAACTATTGCCAAGATGGTTTGCCCGCCAAATGGGCCCCCCGGCAATCGCTCTGGCAACTTCATAAATGCGCTTCGCCCGTCAGGCCTCACTTCTGTGGGGTATTTAAGACAGCATCCGCCACCGGTTGACCATGTATCTTCTAGCATGTTAAAGTATGCATATATACTGCATATATATATATGTATATATATATATATACATAGCGTAGACAACACAGGCACATGTACTGTAATGTATATTTATCCTTTAATATGGGCATGTATGTAAATATAAGGATAGTGTATATAGTGTGCATACATAGTATGACAAATGATATGTATATTGTTGATGTAAAACAAATATGTACACAGAGCTGTCCAGCACATACATAGCATGTACGTATATACGCGCAGAGATAGAGAGAGAGAGAGAGAAAACAGACAGTCTAAATAACCAATTACATATATATATATATATGTTGTGTCCATATCGTATATGTATAATGTGAATATGTAGTGTGTATATATATATGTGTGTGTACAGTAACATCTAGTCTTTATAGTGTATCTAGTGTGTATATATATATATTGCACATACAGTACATGCAGTGTGTATATACACACTGTATATAGTATGTGTGCAGAGCGTGTGTGTGTGTGTATGTGCATAAATATATACATGTGGCACAATAGCAATTGTAAATATAAATATCAATTGTATAGATACTTTGAATATATATATAATATGCATATATGCACGCATATTACATATTCATGACGTCTATCTGTGTATATACAGTACATGTGTATGTATATATATAGATATTCAATAACGTACACTATATATATCTATATACATAAATCATAATTAAGTATGTGTTTCCATAATTAACTAATTAATTAATTCGTTCATGTGTGTGTAATATGTGTCTACGAGTTACGCCTGGATGGAACTGATGGAACCATCGAGTTGGACCAAACGCTCCGCTAGGCATCCCCACTTTCCAAGGGTGCCGCAAGCAGCAATGGGAAAAGTCGCAGTCAAGACCCTTCCATCCTGCAACACACGAGAGCGGCCTAGATTCCTAGATCATACTGGATCCCAGTCCGAAGCGTCTGGAACATATCATTTGATTTACCCGTCATCACTCTAGGGCTTAATCAAAGCAAATTTATCTATATATATATATTATAGTAATAATAATTTAATAAAAATTATGATGATAATAGTAATAATATTATATATATATACATCAACATCAACTCCCAACTTGTGAAACGAATGGCCTCAAGGATGGGGCTTCAACTTCACTCTCTGCTCCATCCAATCCCAAAAAGGGCTGGGATGTCCCACTCCCAGACATCAACTCTTCCCAGGTATGGCGGCGTCACCCCTGAAGTTATTGAGGGCTTTCATCATCTGTGTTGAGATGCAGACAAATGAGAAACTACCCATGGATTTTTTCATGTTTGCATTTCTATGCATTTGTACATGTGTATCAATTTCTTGGAGATAAAGACATGAAACTACAAGTATGACGTACCCTCTGGTAAACTAACATAGCTATTGAAAATGGCCATTTATAATGGATTTTCCCATTAAAAATGGTGATTTTCCATAGTTATGTTAAATTACCAGAGGGTACACATCAGATGTTTTGCCCTTGGAGGACCCAAGCACATCGCAGCTTAGCCGCTACGTCCTGAAGGACGGTGTCCACCTCATAGGAGCGCTCCGGCAAACGGCTGTAGATGTATCTGGAGCGAGGCACAACAGATATCAACAGATGTCCCCACCCTCAGTGTTTCCAGATCTTTCCTTGGAAAAGTCATGGAACGGGACATCTGGATCCTCTGGTAAGTCTGGTGCTCTGACGGGGAAAGCTTTAATTTTCGTGTTCATTGCAACAGCATCGGAATGGTGGCCGACCTGTCTCTTGATTGACTGTAGGCCATCGGCCACTGGGGGGGTCAGAAAGAACCAAAGTCATCCCAAGCTATGCAACTGTTCATCTGTCTATCTGAAACACTCATGGATCTCATGGTGCCCCAACTTGTCAGAAATTCATCGTTCAGAGGGTCAACAATATCCACCAAATATTGGAGATTTGGCTGCATCTAAGGCACTGAGGAAAGCTGGATCCTCGAGTTTGTGCCTGCAGTGGAAGTGATCGGTATATAGACCGAATCTTGGGGCTGATACTCCATACCTGTCATGGCCACCCTTGGATTTTTATCAATCATAAGATCCGCCGAAGCACCTGGGATTGGTCAACTTCAGGGGAATATACCCCCCTAAAAGTAGATGGCTCAACTCAAAAACCAAAATACCCATAAGATGGCACCGCGGGGTGAGAAAGAATATGGCGCTATTTTAGCTGGAACATAAAACGAGGTCCGCCAATTGAAGAAAAATCGCCCTACTTTAAAATGAAAAGGTAGATGGCGCAACTGCCACTCCAGTAGGTGGACATAAGGGTATATAATCTTAACTAATTTTACTACATGTCCGATCATTTTTGTTTGTTTATACTGAAGATTACACATGTTTGTATTGCAAATACTATATATATATATATAATTCCCCTAGATTTTTTTCCTAAAAATGAGTTGCGCCATCTATGTCCCTTAAATCCCATTCAAACGCCAGAAATTTCTTTTTCGATGGGTTCAAGAATGAGTTGCGCCATCTATGTCCCTTAAATCGCATTCAAATCTTCGAAAAAATCCATTGCAATACCTTGAAAATGAACCACTGAATGTTTTTAAACTGATTGTGGACAGAATTTTATGGCTAGAATAGAAATCTCATTTTTCAACATGTTTTGACAAAAAATATTGAAAAAAAATAAAAATGAGTGGGAGTTGCGCCATCTATGTCCCTAAAAATGACCTATTTTTTGCCATCTTCTGCGCTCTGGCAATTTGCCACTTTGCTTGGCCCCGGAAAACGGTCCCCACCAAGTCCCCCGAAAAAGGGCTTTTTCCTGAGTTTCCCAAAGGAAACTTGACACTTGGTGGGGTCCGTTTTCTGGGGCGAACCCAAGTGGAAAATTGGCACTGCGCTGGTTTCCCCCCATTTTTTTCTCAACATCAAGCTGCCTTTTTGGGACATAGATGGCGCAACTCCCACTCATTCGCTAAAATCAGGCTGGGAATGCCCACATAGATGGCGCAACTCCCTCATTCTCCCGACATCCATCAACCAACCTAACCAAAATATGCCACATCGATCAGAGTTATCCCAAGACAGAAGGCAAAACCACCAGGAAAGACATCAGAGTTGTCCTTTTTGGGACATAGATGGCGCAACTTCCGTCATTTTGCCAGCAAAGGTCGAGACGCTTTAAAACCCAATTTTAACAAGTGACCTGAGGAACCGTTTCTTGACGGCCAAAACGGTTCCTCAGGTCACTTGTTAAAATTGGGTTTTAAAGCGTCTCGACCTTTGCTGGCTCAAAACAACTTCCGTCATTTCGCCAAAATCAGGCTGGGAATGCCCACATAGATGGCGCAACTCCGGGAGTTGCGCCATCTATGTCCCAAAAAAGCAGCTTGATGTTGAGAAAAAATTATGGGGAGAAACCAGCGCAGAAGATTGCAAAAAATGTCATTTTTAGGGACATAGATGGCTCAACTGACCTGTTTTAAAGGGAGTTGAGCCATCTATCCCCCATTTTTTTCTTTTTGACATAGATGGCGCAACTCAAGATTCTGAGCCATCTACTCTTAGGGGGGAGTAATACATTCAATGAACAACATAGCCCATCACCGCCCAATATATCCCATTATATTCCAGGGGTTTTGTGAAAATTTCAAATCCACTCGGCAGTGCCTGAAACAGGGTGCCATAGGGTGCCCTAACCACTTCGACAACCAGTAATTCGTCATTCATAGATTTAGAGACCGGCAAACCCCTGGCCGCTTGGGCTGGGGAGCCTTGGTCCAAACATGTCCAAACGCAGTGTCCAAAAATGGTCGAAGAAGAGCATGTTGCTTGCTGTGGTAAATGTGCTACTATGTAAATTATATACATATATATATAATATATTTATGAAAAAATATAGATCATATATGATATATATATATATATACAAATATTGTATTATATATAATGTAGGCTACATATTTGTGACTAACAGTGACGAGGAGATCTAAAACCAGCTGGTAGACGCTGGTTTAACTCTGCAGCACTTTGCAGTTGACTCCAACCCAGGGCACCCGGGCCAAAATAATCTCTCCGCCCACCTCTGAAAGTGCAGGGACCAGCCTCAAAGGGCCCAGATCAGGCGGGCCAACAACCAGGGTGACCCGGACATATCTACATAGATAACATACAGGATAAAATGCGATACGATATGATGGGATAAGAATGGATAATATATATATATAGACATTAGACATGGAATCACAGAGGAATTCTGTAGCACAGTATTCAATATCTAGTGTCATATCTTCATCATGTAGTGTATATAATTGTATATACATATTACATACTTGTATGATAAGATCATATTTGATGGCGTCCAATCATGGTTCACCGGGGACCGCAATCGGACGCTATTCAAACTTTGGATCTTGGGATTTCCAGGAGTGCTCCATAGGCTGAAACTCGGCTACCGCTTGGTCAAGTAAACCCATGCATTTCAAAAGTTCGAGACGTTCACCATCGTTCACCAAAATTCTTTAAGCCATGCATCCCTGCCTTTTCATTATGCAAATCCAATGTCACAATCCCTGGTAGATTTCGGGGAAGCCGTCATTCCTGGTTTCTTCAGTTGGACCATCCGCCCTTGCATAACGTGCATAATTAAAAAAAAAGGGGGCAGATCCTAGATGCCCCCCGAACTGAAAAAGGATTTCTTTCAGCCGAATTTTCATACAGCCCCTCCGTGAAAATCACAAGAATGAACTGGATGAACATAAATAAACATATGAACCATTATGAACCAATGGTTCATAACTGTTTAGCACTTGTTTAGCCACATTATCAGCAGAGTCCACCAACTTTGACCGTTGACCAACTGATCTCCTCCATCCCCCGCGCTCCCGGCATGGCTCGCAGGAAACGCCCGGTGCCTCGGCAAGCTCAGCATGAAAAGACCATCCCAATCATATGAACATCGGGTCACCACCCCCTATGGGATGAGACATACATGCATATATAAATATACTCTGTGTGTGTATATTATATATAATAATAATAAATATAATTATAAATATGTATATATATATATGCGTATATATATATATTGTATATATATGTATATGACTATATACGTGTTAAAGATATATAAAACATTAATAAAAACCACAGCCAGCTGTGGATTCATTGAGAGAAGCACCAATACACACAGAGGTGACCTTCTGCAAGATGTCCTCATCACCATTCAAGGGATCAAACCTTGGTCCATTGAGCACGTGTGGTCTATTGCTACTGAACAAAATACCTACTTTCACAGGGCAAAAAGGGAAAAACATATGAAACAAATCATGAAAAAGCCATCTAGTTTTAGATGAAGAGATGTTATATATGTTATCATAATATGAAGAGAGAAATGCGTACTGCATCTATTTTTAGATGAAGATGGAAAACGTCATAACATAAGAGTGTCACTCAAACATATCCACGGCGAAAACGACATGATATATGATAAAATGGTTCAAATCTCCTGAAAGCATGCTTCGGACAGGAGAGCGTCTTTGTGATTTCAAGAGAAACATATTGATGTCACACATCTACATCAACTATCATCAACTTGCAAAGCAGGAAAGGGCAATAGAGCCGTCAGCCCCACCCACCCACTATGCTGGGAGACGTCAGAGTCGGGTCTACCATGGCGACGACGCCCCGAAGCCCCGTTCGCCGAAGCCAAAAATCTACGGCCTTGTGGCGAAGCATGGCATAGAAGCTTGCCAAATAAGTTTCTACATGCTTCTAACATGTTGCAAACCCATGGAAGGGCAATGGCAGGTAGATACAGGTAGTGACCACGCATGAGCAGCCCTGAAGTTCTCCCCCCCCGGCTTCGACTGCTCAAGCAAGGATGTCCACATATGTCCACACAGTTCGTCAAATTGTGCCCCATGAAAACACATTGTTCCGTTTATTTCTATTCATTTAGGCTAAGTTCCAGATTTTAAGGATGTTTAAGGTTATCTAAGATTTTAGGGTTGCAGTTTTGAGGATTTGGTGTTGCAAGAAACCAAGGGAAATTCAGATTTTCTGCTGTATGCAAACGTTCGCAGGATGGCGTTGCAGCGAACATGTTTCATACAACTCCTGTATTACGTACGCGGAAATCATATCTTTGTAGGGTGGGGGCTGTTGCTCAAGTCGTCCAGATGTTCAAGCTCCATGATGCCGCACCAAGATCATTACAAGGACATGTAGGGCACCAATATCTCCAATTTACATCAATTTACGCCATAAAATATACCAGTGTGGATCTGCCAAGGACTGGATTTTGATGCTGTGTTTCAGCTACCGTAAATACCCAGAAGGCTCACATGGAACCAATCTAGCCCTCCCAAAAAATGCTTTGGAGGTGTCTTGAAGATGATATCCTCTGAAGAACTTGTAATTTAACGATCATTTGTTGTGGTTCCATGTGAAGCTTCAGGGGTGTAGAAAAAAATGGCCGGCTAAGCCGGACAGCTCCAACTGCTCCATCTTGGACGGTGCAGAAGCTTGGCATATGTCGAGCACAAAGCATCTCCTGGGGCGCTGTCTATTTCGCTGTGGACATCGTGGTGCTCTTAACATATCTTAACAACGTGACATTCCACACACTTTCATGGTGAACCAGTTGGAGATCTCATGATTCTCATGGCACACCCTTCTCTTCCCTGCGGCACCCATCCAAAACATTGAGAATTCGGGTGGCTTCTGTCGTACCTGAAGCTCTGAAGAGCTCCCGACTGACACTTTTCTGGGATTTGGACTATCCCCGGCCCACTAGTTCTCCTAAGATCAATGGAAGTTGTGAAAACTTACTGTAATTAATCAATGTTTGGTTAATCCTTACCAAAAGTGTACCTTTCGTGAAAAATGTGGCAAACTCCTCTAAGACCAGCAAACTTCAAGCCTACCGGCATGGCTAAACACTAGCCATTGGGATTCTCCATGACCTGCGCGGACAAGCGGCTGAACTGCGCTGAATTTATCGATCCACCTGGCCCGGCAAGTGGTACAGAAATCTCTAGTTTTACGTCATGTTTCTTTTCAATTGATCACCTGTAAGCTTATGGATAAACTATATTGTATAACTAATTGGCATATCAATTGGAATAGTGTGTTTAATTATTCCAATGGAAAATAAACATTTCAACTATGTATAATATATATATTTATAAATGCAATAGATGTAAACTAGATAAACTATGAAACATATACTAAAACTAATCGATATTGATTGGGATTTAGCTAGCAACATTTTTCCGCCAAAAACCCAAAAACGAGGCAAAAAATGGCAATGGAACATCCTTTAAATGCACGGTTCTTTGGGAAAAAAACGAATACCCTCTGGTATTTTAACGTAGCTATTGAAAATGACCATTTATAGTGGATTTACCCATAAAAAATGGTGATTTTCCATTGCTATGTTAAATTACCAGAGGGTATTCATCAAGATGTTCAATTACCTGGCTAAGACATACAATAGGTTTGTCTCAAAAATGGTGGATATCCCAGAAAACGCCATAGCCCACGAGACTTTTTGGGGTTCCACATTTTGAGACAAACACCCGGTGGCACATGCACAAGTTGTCATATGGAAAAGAAGGGTTCTTTGCCGAAAAAACATCCTATAACTATATGGATCCATTTGGCATATAATATCATATAATATGATGGCATAGAACGGCTACACCCAGGCCATCCTAGGCCCACTCATCACATCTTCAATAAACCGAGGATTTCAGACCTGCACATGCTTCACGTCCAGTGAGGTGGCCGTCGAGAGGATCGAGTCTGGTGTGGCCGGCTGATCCCAGGGTGTTGATATGGAAAACCAATGGATTTTGCAGGAAAAATAGGAAAACATTCTATATAATATTCTATAAATGGTGGGTGTTGGTATACTGTACCCTGTGTTGATCTACTGGGCCAATGGTGGGTGATTGGATTATGACATGTCATTTCTTCACCAATCGTGGGCGAGAATTTCAATGATGATCCAAGTGGATCTAAGTGACCCAACAACGCCAATCAGGGCGCAAGCGCCTTTCACTGGTGCTGGTGAATTGGTTGGAACTTTACAACTTTCCATAAGAGAGCGGCTTACCTCACCCCTCCTCATCCTCCCTTCTGTTCCATAACTTGTCCTGAAAGTTGTGAGGTTCCAATTCATTTCATGCCTATAGAACGTCTTTGCATGTGCAAGGGAAAGAAATGCAATTAATTTCCCCTGGGGATGGAATCTGGCTTTCTCCACTTTCAGGCTTTGGATCCGCAGCACAAAGCAAGCTGCCGGTATCTGCCGGTGGGCGAACCAGTGGTAACATGGTTTTCTACTACTAAACAACCACCCTCACACTCCCTTACTCTTGTCCGGGACCTAGACTTTGCAACAAGCGACTGTGGCTGACGCATGGCACTTCTTCGCCCAGGGAGTTCATGATCATGTTGAACTCCTGCAAATGGAAAGGCTCATATCTAATCCCATCAGCCTATCAAGAAAATTGGCCCAGATATGCCCAGATCAAATACTCAACCCGTGTTCCTGGGGGAAATTTTACTAGGGGCAAATGGTTAAACGTCAAATTTTCACAGCAACTGGGCCTTTTAGCTGTGAGATCTCTTGTACCTTTTAAAAATCGTCCGTGTGTTTTTGCTTGGCGTCTGCAAATAATCTATCCCGGAAGAACAAGCTAATTACTGCAAACTAATATGACTATCCGCGGATAAATTGTCAAAGAATTGAGTGCCTTGAATTGGGCTGGTTTCGCACTGAGAACATAAGCCCATCTGTGTCTCAAAAGCTGTGAAATTTGGAAACATGCCCACATTCTTCAATTCATTTTTAGCACTGTAGCAACACTGGTTGAAATACCTATGACAGTATGACCAACACAACAAAAGTGGGTGGCTTTCCTTTGAAAGTCACCGTGTTTGAGCCCGGTATGAAGAAAACAATTTGAAAGAAACCTTTTGACAGCTAAGACTCAACACCCACCAGAACTCCTGGTTTACTTCTACTTCTTATACTTCTTAGTGCTGGATGGTTCATTTTGGGGTCTTAAACAAGCAGGTGGTTTTGGTACATAGATAGGCCATGGAGTTGGTTGACTAGCAAATGGATTATTGTAATTGGGATTCTTGTGGTTTATAACCCAGTTGCCAACCAGGAATCCCAAATCCCATGGCCCATCTCAGTATCATTGATGGGATAACCCCGCAGCGGCCTTCTTGAAGGCCTCGTTCATGTGCCGCAGGGCCTGGCTCAAGATGGCTCAAGGTTGTTTCCTGATAAATCCTCCAGTCCTGATCTGCTTCGATGTGATGTTGGTCCCAATTTTTTGTCAATCGTTGTTCAACAAACGTTGTTCCCGCATTTTCTGCACTTTTCAACACGTTTCTTTCTGCTGAAATCCTGCACTTTCCCCCTTTGTCCGAAACGCTGGAGCCGCCTCAGCGATGTTACTCTTCACGAAGCGGTTCATGGCGTCAAAGCCCCCCGGCATCTGCGACACCAAAAGGTCGATCCTCGACCGCTGTCCCGCAGACTGATGGCAAAGTATGGTATCTTCGCATCATCATTCACACACACACATACATATATATATATATAATTATATATATATATATGTTATGTGTAATTATGCGTATAATTTAATAATATACTGTAATATATATATATATATAACTTGACTCTCCAACGACCCTTCAAATTGTTGGGGCCGTTCAAGAAAAATGACATGTTGAAAGTAGTTTAGTACTTCTATGAATTTCTTGCATGTTGGTGATGGTCACGTAATGTCACGTATGTAGGTACGCTAAGCTATGGAAATCAAATAACTGTACCACATCGCCGATTTACAACTGATTGTTCCAGCTGCTGTCTTGATTTTGGATGATTGAAGGTACACGAGATTGCACGAGCAATGGTTCTCGGATGTTCTCGGTTCTGTGCTTGATGCCAAGGTTTGGACCTTCCTTGCTTTGATTTTTGCCGGCCTTTGCTCTCATTGTTGCACGCATGAGGGTGGGTCTCAACACTTAGTTGCGGACATGCGCGTTCATTGCTCAAGTTTGGCGACACCATTTCCTTGCATAATTTGTCCACACAATGAAAACATGCAAAGGTCTTTTTCTCCTTCAAATTTACCTTTTTGTGGCTGAGCGCCGTCCGGATGGCATCCGAAAGTCGGAAAAAATGCGTCCAAAGAAAGGAAATGCCCGTCCAGCTTGGACCCATCCGAACCAAAAGATCTTTTTCGGAAAAAAGTACAATTTTTCGTGCACGTCCATCCATCTGTCCAAACTGTCTGATCAGCCAGCACCGCAGGATCAAGTCGGAGTGGATGTGCTCAAACCCTGTGTACAGTATATCCTGCTTAAGTGTGGTAATGCGCAAATGTCCGCCCCCGCAGCTCATTGTAAAAAGCAGGCAACGGCTTTATATCTCGACACAAATCCTGGATCTACAGTTCTTCAGCCAAGAGGTTTCAGTCATGGGCGTAAGTCTGAAATGATGTGAGAGGGGGCCTTGTCCATCCTTGTCCCACATTGGGAAGGACAGACACAAAATGTTCACATGATTTTAGCTTGGTACATAGCAAGGACATGCTTAGAAGATAAATGACTGTGTTTTCATGAAACTGCTCCAGAAAGTATCAAACATACCCAAAAAAATGAGTGGTTTGCAGAAGGAGAAACGATGGGTAGTGGAGCCTCCAGGTTTTCACATCATGTTATAGTTCGCATCATCTAAGTCTATCGATCTCGTCATCAATCTCATCATCTAAGCATATCCGAAAACTATTGAAAACTGGGTTTGTCTGAACAAAGGGTACACCCCTAATTTGATGGTCAATCACCATTCAGTCATAAGATTGCCATTTGCACATCAAATCACCATTTCAGACCTGCAGCCTGGAGGCATATCTTTATCTTTCTGCACCGATGCCGTAGCATCTTCCAGCCGCAAAGTGCTCAAGCGCTTCGCCAGGTGCAGAGCCACATCCACCCCAGCCTTGCCCTCGTGCAAGACGCCGGTGGAGGTGCACAGCCAGAGGCCTCCCAAAAATCCAGGCCAACGTCCTGTAGAAAAATTAGTTATCAAATATTATCAGTACTTCCTGTATATTAGATTATATATTACTAATAATCAATACTCATCAGCATCATCTTGAAAACATAGGTGCTTCCCGCAGGCCTTCAAAGTCAGGTCTTTTGTTCTTGATCTCCTTGGTCTGGAGAACCTCGAACCTCAGGTCTGATCAAAAGAATAAGGGACCGATTGAAATGGCCGTCCAACTGCCAGTGGGCATTCCTTACATTGGGCACAAAAAGCGCCATAAACCTTGATATGCAGTAAGAATACATATTTCAAGTGAGCAAACTGAGCCAAGCCCACTTAAAATACCCCGAATATAGCCTTCAATACTTCGGACATCACCCCTGTTTCTGCATATCTCTTGAGATGGGCTTGGTGGGGACTCAGCATGGCCCAGCAACAAACACCAGGCTCGGGTCAAAGGCATGGCTTCATCGTCCAAAATCCTCGGTGTGGCACCATGGCAGGATAGATTGCCAAAGGGATCCCAAGGGTATATACGTTGATGGAATTCACCTTAGGAGTCTTGCATGGTTGTCCCATTCAAAATTGGTCCGAGAAGGGCCATGAGAAACCACCAGCTAGAATGCCACAAATCAGCGTCGTCTCTGCAAGGTTCAAACGTAAAGTTCGGGCTGGAGTAGTTGTTTGAGATAATTCTTCTGGAGCCACCTACGATCTGCCAAGTATCATTGCAGTTCCACAGCAGTCCTCACAATCCTCAGCAAATCTTGGCAGTACGCAGTTAACAGTTAGATATCACGGAAATCCATCCCAAATCCCCAAAAAATTGCACTTTCTTATACTTTGTCCCCCCCACTGCGATTCGGGCCGAGTTCGTCGGCCCCAGCTACTCCGATCGCCAAGGGTCCAAGGTCTTGAAGAAGGAGGAATCCTCCCAGCTATGCCCCACTTCCTGGGCACCGCGGCACCGCGACTGGGATTTCGAATTTTCCCATGGAGACATGAAAAAAGACCACGAAAAACGATGTACAACTGTACAACTTCAGAGGCATGGCAACTAACTGCATTGGGATTCTGAAATTGATGCTTTTGAAGCCATTTAAGGCCAAAGAAAAAACGAATCAACGTGTCAAGGAATTCGCGAGCCAGTCGCTGCTTCCACCTCCCATTGATTGTTGCCTCAGTCCGCAAGTCATGTTGACATCGACATCGCTATTAACTTTCACGAGATCCACCCGTTTGGCCGAAATAAGTGTGCATACTTCTGTTTTCATCTCCCACAAGCCAGAAGTGTGCACAGAACTTCCCTTTCCTCTCCGGTAGAAAAAAATAAAGAAATGTCCAGAATTCCATTGAAATTCACGAGAGGTTCAGTGGTTCAGAACGCCAGCAAGTGCCAGAAAGCCCATATATTACATATATTTATTATATTAATATATTATTACATTACTATATTACTATATTATCTAATATCATAGTTTGATATTATACTACTATATTATTGAGAGTTCTATTATATTAAAATATAGTGTGTCATATTAAAATCAATTAAAATGGTATATTATATTTTATTATATGATACTATATTATATTAAATATTAATTTCATAATCATATCATTTCATATTATATCAAAAATGATTATAATATATTGTAAATAAGGCCAAAAAATGAAAGGTTGTTAAATTTCCGCTTGGATTGGTTCCCCAAAAACACAAAGTCACACCCAAAAGATAGGCTCAACATGGCCCTAAATATTTAAGATTCATTGTTTATATTGGCATCATTTATGTCGCGAAATAATTGGTTGACCCTGCCCCAGAACCAGCCCGACAGGGAACTCATAAAATTAGAAGATATATAATTGTTGGTATCACATCACACAGCATCATTAACCATAAAATAATCTAAGAATGATATGATATGAAATGGTATGATATCATTCGTCATTAGCATCAACAGTTCACAGTCCACACACTGGACTGGTGATACCAAGACCAACTCACTCTAAACCAACGCGCGATGAAGTGGTCCTGTCAGGACCAACACGTTCTGCAATTAAAAGGGCCCGGCCCTGCCAGAACCAAATGATCTTACCAGGACCAGCATTTATCTTGCCATGACCAAAATAGTCCTGTCAAAACCATTAAGCTCCGGACAAGACCACTATGGTCCTGGCAAAACCATGATGGTCCTGGCAAAACCATTCTGGTCCTGGCAAGACCATTTTGGTCCTGGCAAGACCAGTATAATCCTGGCATGACCACTATGGTCCTGGTAAACCAATTATTGTCTTGGCAAGGCTACTATGGTCCTGGCAAAACGATCGTGGTCCTGGCAGGACCATTGTGGTCCTGGCAAGACCGCTATCCTCCTGCCAGGACCATTGTGGTCCCGTCAAGATGATTGTGGTCTTACCAGGACCACTATGGTCCTGCCAGGGTCCTGGTAAGACCATTGTGGTCCTGGCCGGATCACAATTAGCAATTATGGTCCGACCAGGACCACAACTGGCAATTATAGTCCGGCCAGGACCACAACTGGCAAGTTTTGGTCCGGCCAGGACCACAACTGGCAATTATGATCCGGCCAGGACCACAACTGGCAAGTATGGTCCGGCCAGGACCACAGCTGGCAATTATGGTCCGGCCAGGACCACAACTGGCAAGTGTTGGTCCGGCCAGGACCACAAGTACCAAGAAGTTAAAACACAAACGAGCATGATCATGCACACTTCTTTTGGTCTGTTTTAGACCTGCGCACACTTATTTTGGAACTATTTTGAACTTGTGCACACTTCTCTTGTGTGAGCTGGTCATGTTACAACAGTTGTGGTCCAGCTAGGACCACAACTGGCAAGTTGTGGTCTGGCCAGGACCACAACTGCCAATTGTGGTCCGGCCAGGACCACATCTGGCAATTATGGTCCTGGTCGGGCCACAATTGGCAATGATGGTCTTGGCAGGACCACAACTGGCAATTGGTCTTGGTCGGACCACAATTGGCAGACCAAAACTGGCAATTATTGTCCAGCCAGGACCCCACAGCTGGCAATTATGGTCCGGCCAATACCATAATTGCCAGTTGTGATTCTGGTCCGGCCAGGACCATAATTGCCAGTTGTGGTCCTGACCGGACCACAATTGGCAGTTGTGGTCCTGGCCGGACCACAACTTGCCAGTTGTGGTCCGGCCAAGGCCATAATTGCCAATTGTGGTCGGGCCAAGGCAATAATGGTCCTGTCAAGACTGGCCAAGACCTGTATGGCCTTGCCAAGACCATCATGGTCCTGCCAGGACCAATTCAGTTTTAAGTGGTCCTGGTAGGACCACTTCACTCTGGAACGGTCCCGCCAGGACCAACTCATTCTGAATTGGTCCCGCCAAGGCCAATTCACTTTCAAGTGGTCCTGGCAGGACCACTTCACTCTGAGATAGTCTTGCCAAGACAAAACTCACGCTGAAGTGGTTCTGGCAAGGCCACTTCACTCTGGGATGCTACTGTTTCAACTAAGTTTTATCTATCAATTAATTCAATGTAATTCCGGGTAAAGAACACCCTTCTTACCTGGAGATGTTGAAAGTCCCATGGCCAGAATTACATTGTACACTTTCTTTTGTTCAATGTAATTCCGGGTAAAGAACACCCTTCTTACCTGGAGATGTTGAAAGTCCCATGGCCAGAATTACATTGAACACTTGGTTTTGTTAGTTGTAATTCCGGGTAAAGAACAACCGTCTTACCTGGAGATGTTGAACGTCCCATGGCCAGAATTACATTGAACATTCTTATTTTTTCAAAGTAATTGCGGGTAAAGAACACCCTTCTTACCTGGAGATGTTGAAAAGCCCTTGGCCAGAATTACATTGAACATTCTTATTTTTTCAATGTAATTCCGGGTAAAGAACACCCTTCTTACCTGGAGATGTTGAAAGTCCCATGGCCAGAATTACATTGAACACTTTCTTTTGTTCAATGTAATTCCGGGTAAAGAACACCCTTCTTACCTGGAGATGTTGAAAGTCACATGGCTAGAATTGCATTGAACATTTTGTTTTTTTTCAAAGAAATTCCGGGTAAACACCCTTCTTACCTGGAGATGTTGAAAGTCCCATGGCCCTTTACCATATATCTGTCCACCACCCCTCTGATTTGTTGGATCTGCAAACTGCACTGATTTGCGTCATTAGGTGCCCCAAAACACATAAACTACTGAGGGCACACTTGTGCACACTTATTTTTTCTTATTTTTCTGAAAGTTGCAGATTCTTCACTCACGAAAGGTAATAGACATCGCCCCAGAAATAGTCCAGCCAGGAAGCAACCAAAGCAACAGAATCAAGCAACTGAGATCAAACAAGTCAAATTCAGTTTATTTTTTCTAAACCTACAAATATGATCAAATATTAATATTGAATACTCGGCGTCTTCTTACAGCATACTATATGTATGTATATGTGTATGGTGTAATATAGTTAATATATATATATATATATATATGATGGCGTAGCCTGCCTACAGTAGACAAACATAGACAGTCTCATGTCCCAAATGGATGATGTCTGCCCAAGCTGTGGATTTCCCGGGATTTCGCCAAAGTACTGAAGCTGCAAATCCAATAGGCTGCCGATGACCACGGCAATTGCCTCAAAAATCCGATGACGTGTCACGACGCGTCGTGGTCGCCACTGATCCAACTGTATCGTGCTGAAAATACTAATGGATATTTGATGGAACTACATGGAATAACCAACTGTATCATAGTGAATATTGTGAAAAAATGTGGACATCCTTGAACTACATGGAATATCATGGAATAATACCCGCCCCAGATTCACAAAATGTACTGAGGGACAGTTCAGGAGAAGGAAGATTCGATACAAAATGGCCTTATAGTCCATTGCCATGTCACCAGAGGGATCCAGTGAGGGAAATTGGTGATATGAAATCTATCCCAACAAATCCATTCCAGAAACACGATGGTTTCGGAAGGGATTATAGAAACAAACAGAAACAGAGCCAGATGACCCAATCATGATGCTGATACCCCATTCCTTCCACCCAATCTGCGGAACCTGGCCTGGTTGAGGCCACATATACCCGACTATATTGAATGATCCGAAACTATTGTCATTATTTCAGGTGAAATCATCTCGTACTATGTGTTCGTAGCTATCTATCCTCCCACCATGCATTGATCGATCTATTGTCATTTATTATCTATATCATTCTATATCTATAGATGTATTAAATATAATGCAATGAACATGTTTGAAAAATAATGATCGTCGTAGTGGCTGAACCCCCAGCGCAGCCCCTTGCTTCAGCCGAAGAACGAGTAGGGCGCCACGCTCTCCGCATGTTTCCGCACCGATTGCACGAAGTGACGGAATGAGGTGCCCCAGAAATGCGACACAAACCACATGACTTGATGTGGACCTTCCAGCGGTTTGGTTTGAAGGTTTTGAGGCTTGAAAACCTGGCATTTTACCATCTTTTACCACTGAAGTCACGAAATTGGTTGATTTGGATTGAAACCCTGCACGCCTGTCTTCATTCAGTGGGATGATACGGGTTGAAACTTACCTGGGTTTTTTTTAATGTTTTTTTTAGCATAGAAGACATGCTTTAAATTTTGTGGAACAGGTTGGCTCAGGGAAGCCTGGTTACCAAATGGCAGGGTTCCTGCCAAATTTCTTGCCTTATATATCCATAAGAATTCAGGCGGATCCCTGCCTACCAGCTCAGCGTAGGACAAGCGCCGCTTTGTGGTCAAAGGCATCAGCAAATTGGAAACCACCTAGCTGAAGGTCAGACTTGGGGGGACCAGTGGCTCACAAATTGGCAGCTTGTTCATGGTTTTTCTGAAAATATTCAGATCCCATGCATATCTCACCATTAGATACCATTAGAACATATTGAATTTAAACGATCAAATTTTGGACATCTTGGATTTTGACCCATGCAGTTTAGACAGATCTTACTACATCGGTTGCTTGTGGCATGCTGGTCCACTGTCACGAAGGTGACACAACGCGACGGTGTAGAAATAAAGAGCATTCCACCAACATGTACGAAAGTAAACTCATGTTTGTGTATGGTGTATATATCCGCACTCACTCAATAATGATCATCACCCCAATTATGACTCACACACCCCAAGCAAAGGGCATTGATGATCCCCGATCCCTGCTGTTCACAAGGTAGCCAGCTGGTGGTCATGGATATTTCATCCACCCGTTCATCATATGGGATGGTTTGACCCATCCCAATGTTAGTCAAAGCCCCTATATAGTGTATCTATATGTTAAAAAATGCAGTAGCCACACTACTCCCATGATACGATATTCATAACAATAAATATAAACACATAGTAGAAAATAATAGAATACAATATAGAATAACATTCCCTCCCGTAAACTAACATAGCCATGGAAGATGGATGAAAGTGGTCCAAAATTTGATGGTTGACCCTAAACACAAATAGCTGATGTTCCATAGCTATGTTCGTTTACCAAAGGGTTCACCAAGCCAAAGTCATCTTGCCATCGCTGAGAGGCGTAGTACATGCTCCTCTGCTGACCTCATCGATGCTGGATGCTCAAGGGCCAACTGGATTAATAAAGCTTTATGAGAAATATGAAATCTACATATCATACATATACAATATAAAAAATATATTATATATAATATATAACATATAATTTAAAAAAGTATATATTATATATAATTTATAATATAATATACAATATAATATATATATACATATAATATGTATATACGTATATATATATATATATGTGTGTACACTGTACCAGGGAAGAACGAAATATATAACTAAAACATTGTGAACAAACATGAAACCATGAACATCCATCAAGCATGAAATATATAAACCAGACCCATGATACAAGTAACATTCTCAGATTTGGTTAAAGAGAAACCACTCTCAGTAAATTCAGGAAACCTCCTTTTTCAATGTTTTTCGCACTTTTGGAGCGCAAAAACATGTAAATAGTTAAATAGTTTCCTGCCAGTTTTCCCTCAAAAATGAACTCCATGAATGTCACATCCCAAGACACGTATCAGCGTCTCAAAGGCCAGGAAGAAGCGCCATAACCTCCATATCTCCATATCGCAGAGAAAGATTGTTTCCATGATGAAAATGGGAAAATCATGGAAAAATCTTCAATTCAGCCTAATTCAGCACCATTTCTATCTACACGTGTGACCCCTCACACATTGACTAGGACAGGGCCAAGGTGTTGTGCGTCTCCCATCTCTTCCACCAAAGCCGCTTGGGTGAGAAGCCGTATTAGATGGCAAAGAAGCGTGGCAGTCTAAACTCCCAAAATCAGAAAAACTCACCACATTCTGATGGTTAAAACATGTTAAAACCCCATCAACCCCCATGGTGAAGCCCCCATTCAATTCAGGGCTTTCTCCAAGGCACTGCCCCGCTTGCACTGCGCGCCCAGGCCCGCGTTCACACTTCTGAGGCATGGGGTTGGCCTCACTCCGCATTAGTTGGAATAAATATGAATAACGCCCTAATCTATGACAATTTATGACCATGTACCTGTGTATTAAGTTAGTGACCACATGTTCAATGGATAGTTCTTGTTGGGAAAATCATGAAAAATCAATGGTTGCAACTGAAACCATGGTTTTTCACCCCAAAACCATGGTTTTTCACCCCAATAAACAGGGGCAGAATGGTCTCCCCTAAACTAGGACATTTATATTTTGGGGTTGTCGAATCATGTCTCATTTTGACATAATGTGGCTCATAGCCTCTGGAAAAAATGGTGTGACCACCCTGCGGGTAGTTTCAAGCAAAAAATAACTGATCGACCTGAAATTATTTAGGGTCCCTTTTTTGGTTTGAGACACCAATTTTTTGCTGAGAGCTCCGGGATGGCTCCTATGTTTTTTTTTGGGGTGCCTGACTGGCTTTATTTTATATATATCATTGACATCATCATCCTGGCGAAATTCGTCATCTCCAACATCTCCAACCGCAAGAGCTGGCATCTGGCATCGCTTAGCTTAGCTTGGTAATATGAAGATCATTTTAATAGCCCATGTGTTTGAGGCATCTATGTTTCCACGGCCCCGGAAATAAAGAGTAACCCCTAACTTTTTTGTTATCTCCTTAGTGTCTCGGCTTAAGCTGATGAGTTGTGCCACTTGCCGAGTGTTCTCCGGGACACCGGTCTGTGGCGCTTGCCGGGCGGCAGCCCGCATACAGGGCCTCCTGGAGTCGGGTCGTCTGCCACTCGTTGAGGAGAGGCGGGTGACTGGACTGCTGAGAGGCGTTGCTGGGGAGTTAGCAGACCTCGTTGAGGCTGCTCTCCCAGGTGGAAGGGGTCCCGAGGAAGGAGGGACTCCACAATCTAAGGGGGAGACACTGGGCCGCACCCCCGGGCCTGAGAAGGAAGCCGCTGTCAAAGAGGAGCAGTTCAGCGGGTCACAGTACAGCTATTCAGAAGGAGAGGAGGAAGAACCTGCAGAGGAAGAGGCGGCCGTTGAGGAGGGTCCAGAAAAAGTCAAAGAAGAGACCATCGAGGCGGTACCTAGGGAGGAACCCAGGAAGAGAGGTCCTCCTGAAGTGGACGGTGCGGGAGGAGACAGATCCAGGGGTCCTCCCAAAGCTGAGCAAGAGGAAAGGGCGTCGTATAAGGTGAACCCCAAGTTCAACCCGCGCTATCTTACAGAAAGATTGCATCTTTTCCCAACTGGGAAAGCCTCTGCGGTGCCCAGGAGGGCAGGCGGAGAGTGCGGCCATAGCAGCAAACGAGGGGCTGAGCAGGGACCAGGTGGTGGAGATCATCACGGAGGAGACGGCGCAGAGCGTGGCAGCAGGAGACACTGGGGGCAAGAGCGGCCCGCATCTCCTGAGAGGCCACCACTGCCCAGGAGGTACCCGGCTGACAACCCAGAGCGCAAGCCGCGAGGGCCCAAGACCAAGAAGAAGAAGAAAAACAAGAAGAACAAGGGCGTCAAGAGACGTGAGCGAGGTCGGACCTTTAGGACCGGCCGTGAGGATCGGAAAGGGGACCGACGCCGGTGGTAGGCATGCCACCGAAGGCAAAAGCAAAGGCCAAGCCCAAGGCCAAAGCGGCGGGACACCCCATGCACAGGCCAGCAGCCCGAGTCCGGGCAGGGAGGCTGAGGCGTCCGGCTCGGCGTGCAGGAGGCGAGGTGTCTCCTTGGGACGCTGGGCTCGAGGTGGACCTGTGGAAAGTGTCGCCGCTGGAGCTGAGGCCCGGCACGTCCTTGGTCATTACCAAGGGCGACTATTATGGAGCCGAAGCTCGCCTGGCTGGAGAGATCGTGAAGTACGAGATGTCGCACGAGGGCAACACCATGATCATCAAGCCCACAGGGACAGATCACGAAGGCATTTTACGGGCATGCACAGCTCGGCCCCAGGAGACCTTCAGTTGCCACGTATGCCCACAGGGGTGTGCGAGGCAAGTCACCGGGGACTACATCATACATGGGCTGACGGGGCGCAAGAAGAAGGACACGGACGAAGAGGGATGGGTCTCAAACTTGGGACCCGGAGAAGCCGCAGTAGATGTCGAGGACGAGAATGCAGCGCTGAGGGCAAGAGCGAGCGCACTGCAGCAGCGGGAGGGGAACCAACAGGGGGCCGCTCCCGGAGGTATGAACCCTCTCCCCGACCCAGGAAGGGCGCGGGAGGAGGGGTCGAGTTCCAAGAAGAAGAAAAAGAAGAAGAAGGCAAAGGAGGCACAAAAGGCCAAGGATATGGCCGACGGGAGATACCCTGCCCTGGCAGTGCAGAAGGATCTTGCAGTGATCTTTGGAGGCACAGGCCTCGATCCCAGGGAAAAGGTGCGTCGCAGGGTTCAGGCGAAAGCACAAAGGGTGGTCTCCCGGAAGAAAGCGAAGAAGCAGAGCGACTCATCTTCAAGCAGTTCGTCTTCGACAACCCCGTCGCTGGTCGAGCCCCAAGGAATCGAAGCAGTCTTTGCGGAAGAGACCAAGATCCGGGCCGTAGCGGAGAGGTTTCCTGGGGCGCTCTGCATGGAGACGGTGGCCAACATGAAGCGATCTCTCCTAGTGACATCAGGAGAGGAGCTCGAAGACAACGGGTTGAGGGCGGTAGCAATGCTCTATTACCGGAACATCTTGTCGAAGGTCTCGAGTGGAGCCCAAGGGAGGGAGCTGTTGAATCTTTCAGCAGCTCTCGACCAACTACTCAAGGGTCGGATTGCAGGCGCAGCCGACATATTGGCTCAAAGACTGAAGGCGCAGCAGTCGGTTTGCCAAGGCACACATTGGAACATTGCGGTCCGCCTGGAGATCCCACCCTCAGATCAGAACATCCTGGTTCAAAGGAGCAAACTTCAGGAAGCCCAGCGGGAGGACTATCAGGATTCGCGAGCCAGATGGCGCACCCAGTCCTCGGCCGGGGGCAAGAGCGAGCAGAAGGGCAAGAGCAAGGGATCCAAGGGAGATCGAGAGCAGTGGCGCCGCGAGGACCGGAAGGAGGAGGACAAGAACAAGAAAGGAAAAGGGCAGGAGAGGAAGTGATCTTCTCTCCTGAGTACAAAAAGACAGAGTACAGTGCATCGGATTACCCTAGCTCAGCTCCCAGCACAATCATTTCGGGAGAGGGGCCGGGGTTTCTGCACCCTGGGTTGGTCCCGGGGAGCGGGAGTTTTCCAGCTGGTGACCTGGCCGATTTGAACGGCAGTGGCCACTGGTCGTTTACTGAGGAGATGGGACCTTTAGTGTCCAGTCAGAAGAACC